ACTGTGCAGTCAGTTAAACATGCAAATGCTGATGGGATTTTGCAAGCAATTGACAATGGATTTAATTATGCCAATGTAATTAATTGGAAAGATGGACTAGTTGGATTTGGTGCTGATGGTGCTTCTGTAATGATGGGTAGACAGAATGGAGTACTCAAGAAAATCAAAGATGATGTCCCACACCTCATTGAAATGCACTGTGTGGCGCACAAATTGGAACTTGCAATACTTGATGCATTTAAGGATGAAAGCATTTTAACAGAACTGAAGGATCTTCTTCAAGGGATTTATAAACATTATCACTATTCTCCAAAGGCTTTACGAGAACTAAATGAGCTAGCCCAAGTTCTGGAACTTAGTGTACTGAAGCCTGTAAGTTTACTTGGTACAAGATGGACCCCACACCTTCACCGGGGACTGAAGGTATTCCTTCACAACTTTGCAATCATTTACACACATTTTCAGAACACAGCTGCTCAAGGGAATGGTGCCAGTGCTGTGATGCAAGGACGAGCCCGAAAAATCACCACACAGATGTCTGACTTCAAACAGGTACTTTTCATGCACTTTATGCACTTGATGTTGTCAGTCATTTAAGCCTGGTAATGCAGAAAGACGCAGTCACTTTAGCGGAGGTGAAAGATTCCATTGAATGCACTCGCTTGTCTATGCAGGCCTTGGTGGTAAGACCTGGTGCAAAGCTTTCACAGTTTCTGGAAGCTGTGGGAGATCATGGTAACCATTTCAAAGGTGTTGAACTCAACAGACAAGATGGAGATATTGCTGCCTTCACTAGGCTTAAAGAAAGAGTAATTGGGTCCATGGTTGCCTATGTAAACACCAGGTTTGCTAATGTGAATACCAATGATGTTATTGCTGCTTTTGACATGTTCAACACTAGCCTGTGGCCTGATCGTGATGATGAACTGACACTGTATGGGGAACAAGAACTGAACACTCTTGTTGATCATTTCAAGCTACTTCTTGAAAGAAATGATTTTGATTTGGAATTGGTGGATCAAGAATGGCAAGAACTCAAAGTTTGTATTAAGAGAAATCATAGCCAATTGAGGATGCTTCCCATGTGGCAGAGAATCTTTGCAGAATATTCAGAAAGATTCCCTAACATCCTCATGCTAGTGGAGATAATGCTTGTGTTACCATTGGCCACGGCATGTTGTGAGCGTGGTTTTAGCACCTTGAAACGTATCAAATCAGATTGGAGATCACGCCTGGAAACAGAAACCCTTGATAACTTAATGAGAATCTCTATTGATGGCCCAGATTTGGAATCATACAATGCTGCTCGCGCCTTGCAACACTGGTGGGACAAAGGAGAGCGACAACGACGCCCAAATTTTCAGAGACAATAAAACACACCATACTCACTACTGTAAGCAATTTTTATTTTAATGTCAGTGGGCAACTACCTTTTAGAACAGGGCAAGTACAGTTTTTGGGGGGCAACTAAAAATTAAATGGCAGTTGCCCAATGGGGCAAGTTACCTCAAAAGTTAATGTCGAACCCTGGTAGTGCATAGAAAAACCATACAATCTATCAGCAGCTAAAGAGACCCTAGGAGGTTACCTTGCAAGTTACAGAATCAATATCTCATTTCGCATGAGACTAAATCATACCTGAACAGAAAGTTTAAGTTTAATGAATTTGCCTCCCACAACTGGAAAAGAGGACGAGCAAATATCAATGGCCACTCAGTTGTCAATGCAACTGCAAGTTACAGAATCAATCTCCCATATCACATGGGACTAAATCATACCTGAACGAACAATGGCATTGAATTTCTAGTTTCATTTGTGGCCAGGCTCACAAAATGCATGACATTTTTGTCATAGTTTTAGAGTTACTTCTGCAGAAACTATTTCCGATTGATAATCAAATCATCATACACACAGGATGTGCATCATAAATTTCCTGTATGTCACACTATCATGCCTAGCTTCAAAATCATAAGAATTTCCAGCTATTGTTTGATTCCTTCTAAAAGAAGTACAGTTAGTTTAATTCAGTAGTTCAGAGTGTCAAGACCTGCACTTACAAGTTCAGGACCTCTTGGTCACAGAAAGTAACTCCATTGTAACTGCAAGTTGGTGACCTATTTGACTAAGGATTTGGTATGTCACATTTGACTTTGTTATTACGTCTTAGAGTTTAAGTTCAAGAATAATACAGTTCATATGTACTTATCTCAATCCAATTGTCTAGTCTTTGCTTGAATCCTTAGTTGATTCATGTTCAAAATTTTTGTAGAGTGTAGTCAGCTTTCAGAACATTGTATTAACCTGTACCTTTCATTCACTAAACATGTTATGCAACACTGTAGTAGGCGGAGTTCATTGGTGAAATCAGTTATTTCATTGTAGTTTTCATTGTTTAGTTCATCAGTAATGACAGATGTTGTCCTGTCACAGAATATGTTGCCAGTTTTCCTAGTTTTATGTCAAAAGGAAAATATGAAAATACTATTGAGATTAGTTTTATTTAATATTATGTTGTTCTGAGCTACTGTTTTATCAGTATTTACTTGTTTTCGGTTATTTCATGTTTAATTCTAAAAATAGCTCACTATTCAATAGTCATATGTTTGGATAAGAGGATAAGTATTTTATTAAGTGTCACACAATGATCACTGTTCTGTCATGCAATACTTTGAAATTGTCTTGTTTATTAAATTTAGTGCATTGCCATGACAATCTATTGTACTTTTTCTGGTTGTTTTATTTTAATTATTTTATTGTAAATTATTTGTTAGTGATTTGCTATTTGTTATTTATTTCTTTTAGCTTGCAATCACCCTTTTCTTTTCTTGTACTTCCCTGAATAAATAAATTTATTTGTGGCTATAAGTCTGTCTCGTTGTTCAAATAACAACATCAGAACCTGCCTCAGTCACACATTGTACAAATATGGCTTAGGTTAAAGTGCTATAAATACTCCATATTCAGAGCTTTCATCAGTCTTGTATTACATGACAAGGAGAAATTTAGAGAGCATCCTTTAGTCATTTGATGCTTTCAAGGAATTTTTTATTGAAAGCCATCTCCTCCCATAGCAGAAATTGGGATGCAAAAGTTGTGCTTAGTGTTAAGTTTACTACCACAGTTTTTCACTATGTGCCAGCTGCCAGCTGAGAAACAGGTGTAGCAGGCTGTTTTTCAACCAGGGTTACAAAAGACCAGAACAAAATCAAGAAACTAGATCTCTTTTTAAGCCTGCTCATTTATGATCTTAGCTGGCAGACTCTTTCCTTATCTTCAGCCTGGCTGCCACTCTAGGATCTCATTTTAAACCTCACTATGTTCGTGACATGTTGGGTGACATGTGTAGTATGTGCTTTTGAAGATAATATATGTTTGAGCTCTTCTTGTTCCAGTATTCTGTCATTTCTTTTGCTGAATAGCTAATTGTTACACTGTTGTTATGCCTCACCACTGGACAGCAATGCCAAACAGTTCACAACTTTGACATAAACTATACTCATGACATGGAGGATAGATTCAGAGTAATGGTCCTGGAGAAATTGAAGAAAACTATACCCAAAAGACATTTAGCACCCAAAGATCTAATTGCCTTTAAACATGACAAGAAATTTTTTGTAGTAGAATACCCAACAGACTCTCTGGAACAAACAAAGTAGAATCAGAAGATACCTCTTGATTAATACTTGGCTCTGCCAAGCAATTTTCCTCTGTGTCTAAGGAGATCATCTCCAGATGAATTAATTTAAACAAGTATTTGAATTATATGTTAAGTAATGAAATCACGTTGTTTCATAGAGGAATTTATGTTAAGTGTCAGGTGTTCACATAGAAAGGACTGGACATCCTGGTAGATGTCATATGACATAAGAAAAAAAACCTTGTGCTAGAGAGAACCTAGCAATAAAAAAGTTGTGAGGATAATCTTATGTTCACTTGGTAAAGAATACATGTGGAAAACCTAAAACCATGTGGATACTCTGTGTAACATATGGCATGGACATAACAAATTATTCTGCCCATAGCAGCAGAGCTGCATCTACATTCTTCTGTAATGCTAAAAGACCAAACATTCCAGAGATTTTGAAAAGTGAAAGGTGGTCTAATTCAAGCACCTTTACAAAAAACTGTGAAACCAGTAGATAACTCACCAACCAAATTTATTTCTGACCTTCATGTTCATGTAACATCTGACATATAGCCTTCACTTTTAGTTTGTTAGTTATCTGTAGATACAGCCATCATTTCTTTTTTTAACTTTTAAACACAACACAAGGAATCACCATCTAGAGAGTTTTGTATGTAGAAATTTATCCCTTTATAGAGTTTTGTCTGGCAGTTGACATCTTGTTTATGTCAGATTTTACATATGTAATGTAGAGTAAATTATTTTTCTCATGAGAATCTTTTTAATCATTGTTGTAATGACGTAGGAAGATCCCCATCAGAGAGTTCTAATAAAGATAATCGATTGTACTGCTATTTTTCACATTTTAATTTTGATTAGCTTCACCATTCTGTTTACATTATGATATTAACCTTTCTAGATAATGCAATAAGTTGAAAGTTTTAAGTTGTAATCATCCACATTTGATCACTTTTTCCATCCTCGTTTAAGTCTGTATTTTTCTTTTATTTTTTTCCGTCTCTTGTGTGAAAGTAACAAGTTTTGACATCCCACAAACCAGCAGTGTACTATTTTTTTTAAATACATAAATTTACTTGCCTGCCTAGCTCTGCTAGCCTAATTGATTATTAAAGGCAGCCACCACTCTCGTTACACTTCTCAGAACACAAATAAAGGTTTTTGTTATAATACTTTGGAGAACACTGCTAGTAGAAATTTACATGTTACACATGCAATTAAAGCACTTTGACAATTCCTTCGAGTAATTTATCCATTTAAACTACACCAGAGCCACAAAACTTCTGTTGAATCACTAAAAACTAGAGCTTCTGGCAAAATATTGGAAGTACAGTTACACAGATTTACAGTTACTTACCAAAGCAATTTTAACATATTGATACAAAAAGACATCCTCCATGAAACCATCCACAACACTCATCGCAGAAATATTACCCGTCTTCAGACACAAGCTGAAATCATAAATTCAAAGTTTCCATCAACAATTTTAGTTATTGTGTTTTGTTAGTTTAGTGGCACAATTTATCTACCAACTTCTGTTCAAAATTTGTAAAATGAATGAGAACCTATAAGTCACTAAAGTAGTATTTACTTATCCAAACAAATTCTCGAGCCTGTAATAGCTTGCCACTTACCCATTTGATGTGTTTGAAAAAACACCAGGGCCGGAAAACTTGGTCAAGTAAATGAATTGGAGGCTTAATTACTGATGAACTTTACGGGAAAATATCATCCAACAATAAACTCCGCATGTCTATACCTTTTTCCCCACTCAAGCCATAAAAGTTTTGTTTAGAATTATAATAGAGTTCGAGTAAACAGGAACAGCCAACAATTCAATAAACTAACAATTTGGATTAACGACCTTCTAATTTGTGACGCTTGTGCTTCAAACTTTCCTTAAAGTAAACTTTTGTTGATCCAGATTAATTCTCACGTTTAAAAAAACAACGAAATGAGAAACATAATTGACACTAGTTTACACTTGTAATCATCTTCTACCGAAAATATAACGAAAGAAATTAAAAGACAAAAAAAAAACTATTGGCTGTGCAAACAAACGTAGCGCTTCGCTGTCATCCGCAAAGTCATAAAACTTGGACGGCACACTCATCGCAGCAAATGATTGTTATATTTGTGAGACCTACCGTGGTAATTATGGCTATTTCAGCGACGTTTCTCTGCAAACATCAACTTTCTCTGGCTTGCGACGTGACAGAAACAGCGCTACTCAAACTTTCCGCGCTTTTTTAGCTCGCAAAGTCTCTTGGGACTGAATTGTTGGCGGGAATTATTTTCGAACGAGAAGTCTGCCAGTTAAAAGGTGAGAGTGAAATCTTGAATCTTTTATCCAGTCTCTTTCGGTAAAGCACAGCACCGAATTCAAAATACTGCAGCAGAGAGCAAACTAATTGTGAATTTAATAGATGTTCGTTAATCAAACGAAATATTCAACTCTGTCAGTCTCTGCATGGAATCCTTATGGGCGCGCTTTTCAAAATCAAGCGAGCGATGTTTCATATCAAGTAGTTTAGCTTGAAGGCAAGAGTTGAATTGTGATGTGTCAGTCTCCTACAGTACTATGGCGTTGTTTTCGTTTCCACAGCAGATATCAGTCCGGCAAGTTTTTCCTGTCAAATTCGGCTTTAAACACAGCAATGATTGGATTGAGGTCGAACGAACGTAACACATCGACGACATGTGCACCACAACTAGTTATTGTGGAAGGAAACATCGGGGTTGGCAAATCCACTCTGTCTTGTCAGTTAGCTAGAAAGCTCAACTATCGCGTCTTTTTGGAACCCACAACGAAGAATCCTTACCTGGAAAAGTTCTACAAGGATCCGAAGAGATATGCTTTGAAACTACAGTTATGGATCTTCAAACAACGATTCAGGACTTACATTGCAGCAACCAAACATGTCCTTCAAACCGGTGGGTAGCTTCTGTGTAGTCAAACTTTCTATGCTATCAGAGCAATTTTACCTGATTTTTTTTTTTGAGAACTGCTATTTATTAACAAATTAAAGAAATTGGATCGTTATAGATCTCCATTTTGTAAGAAGAAAACATTCTGATCTTTTTCAGAACTCTAAAATATCTTTGGAGCTTAAACCCTTGTTCAGGAAAGCCAGGAGATACTCACCTTTAACTGTAGCATGTGATGAATCTCTCATTCAAATGTTGTTAACATGTTGCCTAGAGAGGCAGCAAATAAAAGGTCCTTAGTTATCAGCATGTAAAAGCTTTTTTAGGTGTAAGAATGGACTCAGAAATCTTCGCACTATGGTTGAATATGCCCTGTGAAACTTATATTTTATTCCACAGGCAATACATGTATTTGTTTGTCATTTAATCACTCACATCAGTCTCACATGTGCCATGAAATTGAATTCCCTAACATGTGAATGTGATAAATCTTATTATGTCAATATTTTTTACAGGCCAAGGAGTGCTGTTAGATAGATCAGTTTTCAGTGATACAGTATTTGCTGACGTGAATTTTCAACAAGGGACAATATCTCTAGAAGGTATGAAGTCTCTTAGGCCTCACTCCTTATGTGGAAAATGTTATAACTTTCCTCCAGTAAGCACCCATGCTCAAACAAGTGCCTTCCCCTGATTAAGCACCCACCCCCTTAGGCCTTAATATCAAACAAGTGCCCCGTGTCAAGTAAGTGTCCTCCTTCTTTTGTCACTCTTAAATGGAAGAGATACAAGGAAAACCTATTTCTATTACCACTTTACTTTTACCTTTCTAAGCTTCAATTAAAGTAGAATCAGCTCAGGTTAATAATAAGTGTATAAATTGTATATTCAATTGTATTCTTTTGTACTCATGTAAATTAGCCCAACTACCTCATCTTTGGGTTGTGGTTTTAATGTCTCTCAGAGATACTGACTAGGCCAGGTGGGCTAATCTTCATGAATACAAAAGAATACTAATCAAGTCCACCATTTATGCATAATGTCTATAGTATACAGCAAAGCTGATTGGTTGTGAATGTCACAATCCAAATGCAGTCAAACTGTTACTAAATCTTATTTGTGTAACTAGCTACAAGAAATTGATGAGATTTTAAATTGTTTTTAATCTGTGGTCTTGTAATAACTGGTAATCCTTCTGTACATGATCTATAGTTTAGATTAATTAGCTAAAAACAGTATATTAAACTGCCGCTAAGAGGGAATGATTGAAAGGTGTTATTTATAATTGAAACACAGCTTTAGGCAGTACATGTTCATAATCAGACCACTTTGATGCTGTCGTGCATGGATTTCCATGAAACCATGTAGATTGTAACTTAGCATGATAAAAAGTTGGGTCAAACATAAATTTTACAAGTGGTTTTTGAAAAAAGTGAAGAGGTGGTAATTCAGTGTTTAATTGGGTCCTGAATTTAAGTGGAATACAATTAAAATTGTTTTATTAATCATTGCATCACCAGAGATTGATAATTTTTGACATCTTAAATTTCATTTTGTGATAGGTTATGAATATTACAAGGACTTGAAGAAAAAAGCTTTACAGTCAGTTCCAGTTCCTCACACCACCCTGTATCTTGATGTCTCTCCTGAGACTTGCCATGAGCGCATCCGTAGACGAGGAAGGGTATTGAACAGTAAATTTCTATATTAACATTTATTTCTCATAGCAGAGTTGAGAGGAAAAAGACCCTCTGACTTGTTAACCAAACCTGAAATAACTTTCTCTTCCTAAAAATGCATCTTAATTAATCTTATAATTGAATGAGATAGTTGTGGAACTTATTAAATTTTTTATTTTTTTTATTTTTTTATGGTAACTACCAGTTGTTCACAAAGTTATAGCAGCAACTTAAAGAAGTCTGTAGATTTTACTTTTTCTATCCATCCTTTCCCTTTCTGGGAGAAGAGAACTTCTGTTTGATCATTTTCTCAAAGTGATCAGCATTAGCCCTTCAACCCTTATGGGTAACCAAGACCATTTCTCCTTACAACATCTAAATAATATCAAGTAGACAAGTGATGACAATAAGGACAAATCTCAGTGAGCAGATTACTGGTTGATCCAATTCAAAATTCTCTGAAGTGACATCATGAGAAGTGTATGGCAGACAGCAAAGAGAATCACTAAGTGATGAGATCTTGGGAGTGAAAGGGTTCAATCAGCCTTGATTATCCTAGATTTGTTGTAGTGTTCTATTTTCCAGGCTTGGAATTTTTACCAAAAGGTGCAATCACAAATTTGTCTCATTATGTTTATTAATGTAACCCAGTTAACAGACCCCTTGCCACTCATTGTGCTTTTTTTTTCAACTCAACCATTTTCACAAACATACTCCATAGGATTATGAAAGTGGGATTCCCCTAGAATACCTTAAAGGACTTGATGCATCCTATAAAAAGTTCTTGGAGGAAATGAGGTTAGATGAAACCTTTCAAATGATGTTTGTCTTGTTTTTTTCTTTTTAGGAAGTTTAACGTACATAAACAAGCAGTCTTGCTGATAATTGTCAGTTGAAACCCTAGAAAGAGCATAGATATTTAATTTCAATAAGTCTCAAAATTATTAAGCCACTGTAACCACTTTTGAAGCCAAGTACCCAGGAGACTGTTACAAAATCATTGCATTACTCACATGTGACATAGTTCCCTTTGTTAATACATTGGAAACAGTAATTTGGCTCTCAAAGTTTTGAAAGTAGTTTGAAGAAAATGATAAGGAATTCCTATTCCATGTGAGTTACACCAGTGCCTCCAATCTTTGTCCTTAGTCATGCAGTTATGTAATTTAACAAACAAATTTTTTTATGTTGTTAATTTAAATTCAAGACAAGAGATAATAATAATGGTAGATCTGTATCCTTTTAGGCCTATTGTGTTGAATTTTCTATTGTAAGGTCACTCTTATTTGCACTAAGGTTATTCACATGAGAAAGGGATGACTGTCTCTATATTTGCAGAAATGTTAGATCCAGAGTTTTGGAATATAACTGGACAGATTTTGGATATAACTTTGAAGTGAGTATAATAGTTGATGTACTTCATACTGTATGTATGTTACTGGACTTGTGCCTTGCTTTGCAATAAAAGGACTAAGGGGAAAAAAAAAGTTGCTTTAAATGCACCTCTTTATCAGGAGAATGAGAGCATATTTAAATTGTATCAGTTCCATGTAAGAAATAAGTTATTATTTAACCACATTTTAATGATGATCTCAACCCCTAAATCAGTAAGTTGTTCTTTCTTTGCAAGGATGTAAAGTTCAAATGAAACTTCTTGTGAAACTATGTTGTTTAATTGCCTGTCACTTTTTTTTATTTGGCTTAAGTATTATGGTTTTGTGTTCCATTAGGTTGCAGAAGATATTAAAAATGGTGTTGTTTCAAGCTGGAAGGAAGAAGATCTATATGTCTTTAACAAACTGTAAGTTTTGCTTAATTTTTTTGAGGAGGTAATATCAACACATACATTTAAATTTGATTGAAAGGTAAGAAAGAGAAAAGGTATAATAATGTTTTAAAATTACTTTGCTGAGGTATAGAGTATTTAAGGTTTGCATTATTCTACTTCAGAGTATCAGATGAATCACTCATCAAGGAAGCATTGATGCTAAATCATTTTGTTCCAGAGGCTGATATCAGTGAGGAAGAAGAGGTTTGCATAACTTTTTTCTATCATCTGCTTTTTACAACAGTTTACAGCAATCAATAAATCAGAACCACTGCAATGTATTGGCAGATCACAAAACAAAATTATTGAATAAGGAAGATGGTGAATTTTGAGCTTAGCTATGAGAAAAGGAAAGATCTTTGTGTCTGTCAGGTCTGGAACACTTAAAAAAGCATTTTGTTCCCCATTAGGAATAAAACTGCAGCCTTTATGCTTTGCCCTCCAATGTCCTGCCACTGATTTACAGGCAAATTGATGATGAGCTAGGCCATGCTGGGATTGGCTGAGTAGTAAAAAAGGAAAGTTGTATGAGGGTGTTACCATGGAATTAAAATCAGGGAATTGAAAGAGTGGTTTGAACTACTGCATCTTTAAAAGAAAGGTGCCCTTTAACCCTTTAACTCCCAAGATCTGATTGATAATTCTCCCTTCCTGCTGCTTCACATTTCCTTGTAGATTAGTTATGAGAATTTGGTGTTAGATCAGGATAAAAATTCTACCTGGTACACTTGAATACTATCATTGCCTGTTTGCTGGATAATGCATGAATATCATAGGGGGAAGTTTCATGTTAATCACTTCTAGGAGTTAAGGGCTGAAGTGTTTTTTCATCTGGGCTACTGGGGTTTCAGTAGATCCAATGAAGTATGAGTGGCTTTCACTGATACAAGAAACTCTCAACTTTTGAGTGACAAGCAGTTACTTTTAAACTAGACTGCAAATAAGACATTTCTATCCATTTTTGTGCATTTTGTTTCGTGGTAATCTCTTCTCTTAGGTTAAACTTTTGTTTGCTTGTTACTTACCTTTATTTACTCTTAATGCATGCCCTTTCCAGTGTTTTTCTTTGATCAGTTATTTAAGTAAGGGTTTTTTTTTTTTAGGATGATACTTCAACAGTAGAACCACAATCCCAGCCTACATGTAAATCAAAGCAAATCAGTGAGACATCAAATGCAAGTTCATCGCAGAAGTTAGAGTCATATTTGGAAAGTTAATTGCTGTAACTTCCTTAACTTAGTTGAAAAGTCCCAATGTTAACAATTTTGCTAAAACGCTATGTATTTATTGTGATCTGCTAAACTTTTATAAATTTCATATCTTAACAGCACAATCTTGGTTGTTAACAGACAAAAAAACCAGATTTGTAAAGATCCAATTTTTGCTGAAAGATAGTTCCATGATCACAAACACAGAAGTGAACAAAATTATAGTGCATTTTCAATATTGAAATTAAAAGCTTTTAAAAATGTTTTTTATCAACTGATACGAACGTTGGACAAAATTATACATTCTTTCTAATCATTTTAAAGAGTCAACTGGGTTATTTATGTGTATTTTAGGCTTGAATAGCCCAGGATTCAAATTTCACCTCACAACAAAGGTTGTTATTGCCATTATACAGAGTGAAGCTACTTTGCCTAGGAAGAGTTTACTTTGTCAAGTCTGGTCTATTTTTGTTAATGGCTTTGTTTTGGTTTGGTGGTATTTTCAAAAAATTCTGAGTGTTTCTCATTGTTCCCAGAAAGGTCATTGTTTTGTCATTTACCAAGGGACCATTTAAGGAAAATTTTAAAAATTCCTAGAACTTACTATATTTTTATAAAAGCCCACTGAGTCTCTCCCCCCATTCAAACCCCCCCCCCCCCCACTTTTGTTCCTGCAAGTTGCTGGCAATCATTTGTTGTAAAACCAGAATGGATGAATTATCTATGAATAATACACTTGTGTATTTGGAATGTATTTGGTGTCATTTCCATCAAATAAATCGGCATTTTAACCTACCTGTATACTTAGTTTTCTAAGTTTTATTAGCAGAACATATTTTCCTTGTAAAATAACGGGCACCGTTGGCCATTTTTGGTGGGCTAAGAGATGAGTGGTGGAGGTGCAAGCAACTATCTTCTGTCCAAAGCCTTTTGCATGGTGCTCATCTCTTAAGGGAGCAAAAAACTGCCAGCTGCATAGGCTACAGTACTGCTTTCCATGCTCAGAAGGTCGTCAATGATGGTAGCAACAGGAAATCAAGAAACACCTTGATTGAGTGATAACTTTTACTTTTTTAGAACAAACCTCTTCGTATTCAGTCATTAAAAATCAAGGAATTTCAAGCATGAATTTTCTTACTCCCAAAATTGGATTATTAAATTCCCCCCCCAGTTGCTACACATTTCCTTGTAAATTAGTGAGGATAATGTGGTGTGGTATTCTCATTACCTGTCTGTTTGATTGTGTAAGGTTATTATAGAGAGAAGTTACATGTTAATCACTTGTCAACTTGAAGGGATTGACTAACAAGCCTATCACTTTGAAGCTTCAACATCCTACCCACTGGTATTTGACCGTTGCCATGCCCTGGGGGGTGAAAATTTGAACCTTAGCTGGCCGGGTTGGGGACATTGAACTAGAAGTGTTAAGTGTTTAAAGGTAAAGAGTTCACTTTTGCGAGCAAATGGCTCAGAAAATAATGTCTGCAAGAGTTGTCATGGTTGCTAATTTTTCCCTTTTACAAAAAAAGTTGACCATCAAATCCAGCACTTGGGTAAGGCATTTGAACACAATTTTGGTCCTGGAGCGGGAATTTATCAAACCAATCCTCAAAAATTCAAATAGCCAGGAATTATGCAGAGGGAGAATGTTAAAGCTGCCAATTAATCGACACATAAGTCTTGATCCTGCAGGTAGACATAACCATTTCGCCTCTCTCAATTGCAGCTACCAAGAAGAAATTGTTTGTTTGCAAACACTGTAACTGCCAGTTCATAAAATCAACATAAATGTTATGGGCAAATTTCACAAGCAAATGTCATGGGGCTGCAAGGGGTTACACCCATTGTTTTATATGCTAATCTGCATAAGACCCAATTAAATTGAAATATGGTTTATGAAAGAGAGCAGAAGCTAACGGACAAGTCTTCTGAAGTCAGCTGTCTATTTCCAATCTAAACAGAAGTCCTTAAAAACGAGTTGTGGGTTTTTTTTTGTTTTTTTGTTTTTTTAACGGGTTAAATGTTTTTTTTTTCAAAACAGGTTAAATCCAAATTCGAGACGGTATGTTTCTTGGTAACTTAAAATCGTTTTACATTGAAATGGGATGTTTGGTGGGAGAAAATTAAATATTCTTATTAAAACTTGCGTCTCAAACTCGCCTAAAGCATCCACATTCTCCATATACTTCTTAATATATTTCCTTTGGTAGTACTGACAAGAACAATTTGTTCAACAATCAAATTTCAAGGTTGGAGACAATGAACTTTCTTCTCAAGATTTTATGAAATGTTTTGGGATATTACTGTTAAAGGAAATGAAATGGGGGTTACTGCAAGAGTTTAAAGATTTGTCAGCGGGTTCAATGCGAATCTGCTCTCTACTGCATTTATCATGGTCCACGATTGAAAATATCGTGAATTTACACTGGATTACCGAAGGCTACATCAACACTCAGTTGATAATAACTTTTTCTTAAATGTGGTGGCTCCTAAAGGAGCCGTTTGGTGAAGAGTTGCTTCCCTCCTTGGGTTTTTATTTCTTGGTGGTCTTCTTTGGCGATTTCTTCGCTGCTTTCTTGGCGGGCTTTTTAGCTGCGGGCTTCTTTATAGCTGGTTTTTTAGCCGCAGGCTTCTTTGCCGCTGGTTTTTTAGCCACTGGTTTCTTCGCTACTGGCTTTTTAGCGGCGGGTTTCTTTGCAACCTTCTTCGCCGCTGGTTTCTTCGCTGTCTTCTTGGCGGCGGGTTTCTTTGGCTTGGCTGCAGGCTTCTTCTTTGCGGCTGGCTTTTTCTTTGGCTTCTTCTCCTTCTTTTCCTCCTTAGCTAACTTAAACGAACCAGAAGCACCGACTCCCTTGGTGTGGACAAACTTTCCACTGGTGGCGCCCCTCTTCAAAGCCATCTTCAAGTGCGAGCCAACCTCATCCACCTTGTAGTTGGCTTTGATGTACTTCTCGATGGCTTGGCGGGAAGAACCATTTCGCTCTTTCAACGCTAAGATAGCAGCTTTGATCATGTCTGCGTAAGGTGGATGCTCGGCTGGCTTTTTGGGCGCAGCTGGCTTCTTCTTAGATGGTGACTTTGCTTCGGACATGTTGTGTGCTGTAAAACCTTCGGAACTAAGACAAGTAATGACTGCTTAGAGCGCGCAAAGAAATATTATGCCTCACGTACGGACCACTGAGGAAACAGGGTTAGACTAAAATGGCGTCGTCTAAACTGTGTTAGTTTGCTTGACATTTTGGTCGATAACGAGCTTATTCAATTACTTCAGATCTTTTCTATTTATAGAGAACTTAGCTACGTTCTCTCATAAAATGTGGATGTAAAATTTACTTTAAATTACTCAAATTAAGAATGACATTTAAGGCTCAAAAATCTACAACGCGGTAAGACTACGAAAGAACTTTGGAAAAATGCGCAAAGAACTTCAGTTTAAGTCACCTTTTATCAGCATTTTAAGAATTATCAGCAAGATTGATTCCTTAATTTTTTTTTTGTATGAAATACATAGCCTTTCGATGCATATTCAAAGGCAGAGAAGCCTCTAAACTTGAACAAGAAGAACAAAACTATAACGTCCGCCATTTCATACGTGACCTTAATAAGAGGTATGCTAAATGTCTCGAACAAAGAAAAAGACTTAGAGATGGGGTAACATTGAAGCAATCGTTTGAAACGAAGGGCGATTGAAAAACGCTTTGAGGTTATTTTGGTGGATTTGCCTTGCTTTACTGAAGAGACAGTTTTGTATGAACCGGTTGACGGTTGCGCGCTGTCGACTTCTGATCAGATTTTCATGCCAAGAGCGGAGTTAAGTTAGAGAGAATATTTTCTCAAAATGTGGCAAATTCATTCACGAAAAAAAACTTATAATTAGTTGGCAATGTAATCTTTTTGCTAAACGCTGCAGTAGGCTTCCTCTGAGGTGAGGTGTGCGATTTAGAGGGACGCGAAACAGCAGACTATTTGCGAATATCCAGTTTATTTAATTATCGATCGAATGGGAATAATTTGTCCGACACAATTTAGTAGGTACCGGATTCCAGTCAGACCAACTACCCCAGAAAAGAAAATTTAAGTTTAGTTACATCATAACGTTACGGCAGGATGGAAAGGGTCCTTAATTTCGCTTTTGTATGAAAAAATGATGCATATTCAAAGGAAGGCCGGCCTCTAAATTCGAACAAGAAGAACAAACCTATGACTTCCGCCTTTTCATACTTGACTTGATAAGCGGTGTGCTAATTCGAAAGAAGTAAGTGTAGTTTACATTGCAATTTTACATTTCATGCAGCATGTAAGTCAAGCGTGAGAAAACAAGTATCGTGATGTAAGAAACAGATCCAAAAGATGGCAAAATGTATCAGTTATCGCGGCATATTCATATAATGATTAGCGCCAAAATAACATGCACGAAGTGTAAATGAAGAAAGGTAAGGTTAGTTTCTTTAGGTTACTTAAGAAATGAAGACATGGTGTGTTCCTAAGCACGGATATAGGCCAGACATAACTTATATGTCTGTATTGTCGCCAAGACGCGCACCGAGCAAACATGGTGTAACAATTTCAATGGGTTCAACTTCTCCTCAGTGTCGCATTTTATATTTTAAGAATTTATTTAGGTCAACAGGGGCTCATAGATTGGTCATTGCTTTTCTTTATGTGGTGGCTCCTAAAAGAGCCGTTTGTGATTTGAAGTGGAGTCTGCTTATGCTCGTTCTCCGCGGATTCGGCGGGCCAACTGAATGTCCTTGGGCATGATCGTGACACGCTTGGCGTGGATGGCGCACAAGTTGGTGTCTTCAAAAAGACCAACGAGGTAAGCTTCGCTAGCTTCTTGAAGAGCCATCACAGCCGAGCTCTGGAAACGCAGATCAGTCTTGAAGTCTTGAGCGATTTCTCGCACAAGACGCTGGAAGGGCAACTTGCGGATCAACAACTCGGTGGATTTCTGGTAACGACGAATCTCACGAAGAGCTACTGTACCAGGCCTGTAACGATGAGGTTTCTTGACTCCACCGGTAGCAGGAGCGCTCTTACGAGCTGCCTTTGTGGCGAGTTGTTTACGTGGAGCTTTTCCACCGGTCGATTTTCGTGCAGTTTGTTTCGTACGTGCCATCTTGTTCAAAGACTCAGAATAAATGATAATACATAAACTTAACTGAGAAATTGATTTATACCTGGCGGGCTTGTTTCTGATTGGTTCGAAATCAAGAGATTTGATTGGTTAGGTACGAAACCTGTGAATTATTTCTCAGATATGTGATTATATTTTGATCCGAAATAACTGAAAGGTCGTTTGAGAATAAATTGAGAACTATCCACTCCTTAAATTTTCCATGTAGGATAACTAGAATGCTTAACCTTTTCTTAGCGTGGTTTCGCAACTGACTTCTAGATGCAACAGAGTTGTTTCCAACTGTCAAACTAGCGCGCGCAGAATGCCGTGTGATTCATGTTAATACATGTTAATACTGCATTGATAATTATGATTAGATATTTTTCCTCAACCAATAGCAACATGTATTTCCACACTGCTTTCTGAGAGGTCATATCTTTCCCCATAAAATGTAATAACGCACTCTCAGTTGCCATAACTCTTGCACACGAGTACTAATCAACATGTCTGGGCGAGGTAAAGGCGGTAAAGGTCTAGGAAAAGGGGGCGCCAAACGTCACCGAAAGATTCTTCGCGATAACATCCAAGGTATTACCAAACCAGCCATTCGTCGTCTTGCCCGCCGTGGCGGTGTCAAGCGAATTTCTGGCCTGATCTACGAGGAGACGCGTGGCGTTCTAAAAGTTTTCCTCGAGAATGTGATCCGTGATGCTGTGACATACACAGAGCACGCCAAGCGAAAGACTGTCACAGCCATGGATGTTGTGTACGCTCTGAAGAGACAAGGCCGCACTCTATACGGCTTTGGCGGTTAGACAGGCACCACTAACAACAAACAAACGGCTCTTTTAGGAGCCACCAAATATAAGGAAAGTCCTGACCAATAAATGTGTTTGCTTTTTTGCAGTCCATTTAGATTCTATATGCTTCGCTCATACTTCTTGTTTACAAAAGAAAATGATCGCATTATCTGCGCGCGTCATGGTAGGGTCTAAGTGGCGCAAGAAAAAAAAAAGCCCGCATAGGAAGGATAAAATATACCTGGCATACACGATTGAAAGCCTTCTCTATTTGTTCTTATTGTTTTTTACATATGAATTATAAGTACCATTTTTTTTAGTTGCAATCAATGGGCCCACTTGTTAGTCACCCGCATGAGATCACTGTCGGCTTTCTTTTCATTCCGAGTTTCGTTTCGTTTCTCGCATAAGTGTAACGTGCAGCAAATGTATAAATCAAAATCATCATATTCAGGCGCAATTTTTTAATTACCGCCAGTGACGTCGACATAACAAGAGTGTAACGACTAACGATTTTGGCGCGAAAGTTAATACACACATTTGGGTCGAGAAATTTTCCGATGGAGCTAGATTTTGGTGCGCGAAAGCTTTTTCAAATGCATTTGGTCGTTTGTCAACATTCATTTCCCGAGATACCGTAGATTTTTTACCTTTATGGCATCAAACTAGAAACTGGGGAGGAAGGTTATGAAATGATATTCAGGTTAATCGTTACTTATTCATGTTCACTTGATCGCATTTAGTTGGTTAAGACTTTTGTAATATTTGGTGGCTCCTAAAGGAGCCGTTTTTAAACGTGTTAAAGCTGATTTAGGCCTTGGGTTTCTTCTCAGTCTTCTTAGGCAGAAGTACGGCCTGGATGTTGGGAAGAACACCTCCCTGTGCGATGGTGACCCCGGCGAGCAGTTTGTTCAACTCCTCGTCATTACGGACAGCCAGCTGAAGGTGACGGGGAATGATTCTTGTCTTTTTGTTGTCACGCGCAGCGTTACCTGCCAACTCGAGGATTTCAGCGCTCAGATATTCGAGCACAGCAGCCAAATACACAGGAGCACCAGCGCCAACACGCTCCGCGTAATTGCCTTTGCGGAGAAGACGATGGATACGACCAACTGGGAATTGAAGCCCTGCTCGGGATGAGCGGCTCTTGGACTTGGTACCCTTAGCTTTACCTTTACCGCGACCAGACATGTCGATACGAACTGCTTTGAGTGCTTTCAGCAAGAGTGAATGGTAAACTTTTTACCACTTTTGATATTTATAGTTCGTTTATTATGCTAGAAGGATCGAAAAGCACCAATCAGTAGCAAGTTTCATATATTTAATATCCTAGTAATATATTTGAATAAAGAGAGAATGTCATGCAAATTGACCCCTGGGGTCAATATAAGAATAAGCCAATTATCGATCGAGAATTTCGATCCGTATGGTAATAGATCCTTTCACGATTCCGATATAAATACAAACCGAACAACGCTACACAACCATCTATCTTCGTTATTTAACAAGATGCCAGCTAAAGTTGCAGGAAAGAAGGGCGAGAAGAAAGCCGGAAAGGCGAAGGCTATTGCTGATGGAAAGAAAAAGAGGAGAGGCAAGAGAAGAGAAAGCTATGCCATCTACATCTACAAAGTGTTGAAGCAAGTTCACCCTGACACTGGTATCTCCAGCAAAGCCATGGGCATCATGAACTCGTTCGTTAACGACATCTTCGAGCGCATCGCCACCGAAGCATCCCGTCTCGCTCACTACAACAAGAAATCAACCATCAGCTCTCGCGAGATCCAGACTGCCATTAGGCTGCTTCTGCCTGGTGAACTGGCTAAACACGCCGTCAGTGAAGGAACCAAGGCTGTGACCAAGTACACCAGCAGCAAGTAAACTCACTCTGTGGGTTTCCCGCCTAAAACAAACGGCTCCTTTAGGAGCCACCAAATGTCATGAAAGTCAATTATCGACGCAATAGGAGACTCAAAGAAAATTTTCCCCTAAATATCGTTTCTATCAAATATAATGTTCCCGTTGACCTAAAGTTTTCTTTTAGCAAAGTGTTTTTGTATTTTCCGTTTTTAAACTGACCGCGTAAATTTCCTTTTATCCAAAAGAATGTCAGAAATGATGAAGCACGTATGGGTCATGGATAAACCACAATTACTATCGTTAACTCTTTTTTTCTCACAGGATAAAATACTCTGATGAGCCAGGTTTTTTAATTACCAACGGTAGCTTCTTCCTAATCTCTGACCAACCGCGGTTAAATATTCCCGAAGCGATAGTTAGACGAGCTAATAATTGTTGTTAGGTATCAATCTAGACCCAAAATATTCATCTGTGAAAGTCACATATAAAATAAGTCAACTTCATCCCCTACAGCCACCAAGGACTTGTACAGCGCTCTATGTTTTTAAATTCACCAAGCAATAAGTCTTATCAGAACCTTTAAATGCTTTATTACAGTGAGGCTTTAACATACGATGCTATTGAATAGTTTATGAACTTAATTTTCTAGAAGCCTAAGCATGAAATTATCTAAGAAGTATTTCGGTTTTCCTAAAATTTCACATGCTTATAATCTATGCAAAGCATTGATGGAGTAAAAAGGCAAAGACGGAAATGAACCTAAATCACGAAGCAGGACTTGAGGTCCTCTGATGGCACAAACCTTTTTCAATCTGGTTTCCAGTGAATCATAAGCGGCGGAGTCATAAGTAGCATTGGGTTTCTGCTTTCCACTATGTCACTTTTGTTTTGGCCAAATCAAATTCCTCTGTGGTTTATTTATAATTTAAAATTTAGCCTTTACCCTTTCACTCCCAACATCTCATTGGCAATTCTCCTTGCTGTCTGTTATACAATTCTTATAGTGTCAGTTTGGAGAATTTGGTACTAGATCAACTAGTAATCCCCACATTGATATTTTTTTTTATTCTCATCCACTGAGTGCTTGACATTGATAGTCTGTGGAATTTCTGTCTTAGCTACTCATGAGAGTTAAAATTTTAAGTAAATACAGAGCGTTTGAACCTTAATTAGGGCTGGTATAAGAAACACAGCATATCTTTGACAGTCTGTTCATGATCTCTCATTTTCATCTGTTTTCTGTTGTTTCTGATTGTTTACTCTCAGATTTTCTTTTCCATTTCCTATTTACGTCCGGCATTTTCAGCCAAAGGTCTAAAAAATTGAAATTCAAGCTTCCAATCAAAATAATAAGATTAGGATTAGTTACATATCAAATAAATTTTGTACAAATTTTCCAAATTCATTCTTGAAGTCCTCAGCACTGAATAAACCCTAACAGTGAAGATAGAAAGTACTTAATTACTACATAGCCTAAGATTCAAGCTTCAATCTGACATAAACTGCTGTTCAGACGTACAGATTACGCCATGGAAAATGCGCACAAACAATTTTCAGTTATGAATTAAGTAGAATGAACAGATGCAGTGAGTGGGCTGCTTTTCATCATAAGAAATGTATGGCTGACAGTAAGGAGAATTAAAAATTTGAACTGGGAGTTAAAGGGTTAAAGCATCCATATTCTCCTTACACTTCTCGATCATTTTCCTTGGGAAGTACTGACAAGGATAATTTGTTTAATTATCAAAGCGTCTAAGATTGGAAATAATTTACTCTCTTCTCGTGAGCTTAATAAACGGTTCAAGATTTCAGTGCAGAAAGAACTGAGATTTTGGTCACTATCAGGGCTTAGACTTTTCAGCGGGCTTAGTGCGAACCCGCTCTGTACTGCTTATAGTTATCATGAGCTACATTTGAAAATATAATAAGTTAAACTGAATTACCGAAGACGATATCAATACTCAGTTGGTCATAACTTTTTCTCAAATGTGGTGGCTCCTATAGGAGCCGTTTGGTGAAATGAAAAGTTGTTTCCCTCCTTGGGGTTTTATTTCTTGGCGGTCTTCTTTGGCGATTTCTTCGCTGCTTTCTTAGCGGGCTTTTTAGCTGCGGTCTTCTTTGCAGCAGCTGGCTTTTTGGCAACGGGTTTCTTTGCCGCTGGCTTTTCGGCCGCAGGTTTATTCGCTGCTGTCTTTTTAACGGCAGGTTTCTTTGCAGCCTTCTTTGCCGCTGGTTTCTTTGCTGTCTTCTTGGCGGCGGGTTTCTTTGGCTTGGCTGCAGGCTTCTTCTTTGCAGCTGGCTTTTTCATCGGCTTCTTCTCCTTCATTTCCTCCTTAGCTAACTTAAACGAACCAGAAGCACCGACTCCCTTGGTGTGGACAAACTTTCCACTAGTGGCGCCCCTTTTCAAAGCCATCTTCAAGTGCGAGCTGACCTCACCAACCTTGTAGTTGGCTTTGATGTACTTCTCGATGGCTTGGCGGGAAGAACCATTTCGCTCTTTCAACGCTAAGAGAGCAGCTTTGATCATGTCTGCATAAGGTGGATGCTCGGCTGGCTTTTTTTTAGCTGAGGTCTTTTCTTTGGACATGTTGGGTGCCACAGAACCTTCGGAACAAAGACAAGAAATGATTACTTAGAGCGCGCAAGGAAGAAATTATCCATTGTGTACGGACCACTGAGGAAACAGGCTTATATCAAAATGGCGTCGTCCGAACTGTGTTAGTTTGTTTGACATTTTGGTCGATAACGAGCCCATTCAATAACTTCAGATCTTACCTAACTATACAGAGCTTAGATAAGTTCTCTCACAAAATGTGTATGTAAAATTTACTTTGAATTACTCAAATCATGAATGACATTTTAGTCTCAAAATTCTCTAGAGCAGTGAGATTACGAAGAAAACTTTGGAAAATGCGCAAAGAAGTTCAGTTTCAGTCACTTGTTATGAACATTTTAGATATTATAGGAAATATCAATAACTAAATTTTCATTTATATGAAAAAAAATCAGTTTTTGATGCATATTCAAAGGCAGAGCAGCCTCTAAACTCGAAATGGAAGAACAAAACTATAGCCTCCACTATTTAATACGTGACCTTGATAAAAGGTATCCTTAATGTCTCGAACGAAGAAAATGACTTGGAGATGGGGCTAACAAGTCATGGGGCTAACACTAAAGCAGTCGTTCGTTCGTTAGTTAACGGCGTAAAATCTTACAAAATGTTTGGGAGTAACTTTTGTATGAAAAAAGTGGCGCATATTCAAAGGAAGGGTGGCCTCGAATAAGAAGAACAAAACTATAACATCCGAAAGGTGTCAAAATGTATCAGGAAGAACGACATATTTGCATAATAAAACAACAAAACAACAAAATAACATGCACATAGTGTAAATGAAGAAAGGTTGGGCTAATTTCTTTTAGTTAGGAGCTCGTAAATTGGTCATTGCTTTTATTTATGTGGTGGCTCCTAAAAGAGCCGTTTGTGATTTGAAGTGGAGTCTGCTTATGCTCGTTCTCCGCGGATTCGGCGGGCCAGCTGAATGTCCTTGGGCATGATCGTGACACGCTTGGCGTGGATGGCGCACAAGTTGGTGTCTTCAAAAAGACCAACGAGGTAAGCTTCGCTAGCTTCTTGAAGAGCCATCACAGCCGAGCTCTGGAAACGCAGATCAGTCTTGAAGTCTTGAGCGATTTCTCGCACAAGACGCTGGAAGGGCAACTTGCGGATCAACAACTCGGTGGATTTCTGGTAACGACGAATCTCACGAAGAGCTACTGTACCAGGCCTGTAACGATGAGGTTTCTTAACTCCGCCGGTAGCAGGAGCGCTCTTACGAGCTGCCTTTGTGGCGAGTTGTTTACGTGGAGCTTTTCCACCGGTCGATTTTCGTGCAGTTTGTTTCGTACGTGCCATCTTGATCAAAGACTCGGAATGAATGAAAATAGATAAATTTAACTGAGAAATTGATTTATACCTGGCGGGCTTGTTTCTGATTGGTTCGAAATCAAGAGAAAGTTTTCCTCGAGAATGTGATCCGTGATGCTGTGACATACACAGAGCACGCTAAGAGACAGTCTGGTCGATTAAAGGTTTAGGAAAAGGGGGCGCCAAACGTCACCGAAAGATTCTTCGCGATAACATCCAAGGTATTACCAAACCAGCCATCCGTCGTCTTGCCCGCCGTGGCGGTGTCAAGCGACTGTCACAGCTATGGATGTCGTGTACGCTCTGAAGAGACAAGGCCGCACTCTATACGGCTTTGGCGGTTAGACAGGCACCACTGACAAAAAACAAACGGCTCTTTTAGGAGCCACCAAATCTAAGGGAAGTCCTGACCAATAAATAAGTTTGCTTTTATGCAGTCCATTTAGATTCTATATACTTCGCTCCTACTTCTTACTTACAAAAAGAAATGATCGCATAATCTGCGCGCGTCACGGAAAGGTTTAAGTGGCGCAGGAAAAATAAAAGGAGTTTGCCCACATAGGAGTGATAAATGAAATCTTCCTAGCGTGCAAGGTTTGAAGCCTGGCTTCGCCTTCTCTATTCGTTCTCTAACCTTGTGCTTTACATGTGAATTATTTGTACCAATTTTTCTCAGTTGCAACCACTGAGCCCGCTTGTTAGGAACGTGCTTAAGATCACTGTTAGCTTTTTTTCCATTCCGAGTTTCTTTTTGTTTCTCTCATGAATAGATACCGAGCAATACATGTGTAAATCCCAATCATCATATTCAGGCGTAGTTTCTTATAATCGCCTGTGACGTCGACATAACAGAAGTGTAACGACTAACGATTTAGGCGCGAAAGTTCTCACACGCATTTGGGTCGGGTAAATTTTCGATGGGGCTAGATTTTGGCGCGCGAAAGCTTTATAAAATGCATTTGGTCCTTTAACAACATTCATTTTCCGAGATACTGCAGATTTTATAAACTAGAAACTAGAGAGGAAGGGTTTTTAAGTGATATACTGGTTAATCATTACTTGATAGTTCTCCTTATTCATGTTCACTCTATCGTATCTAGTTGGTCAAGACTTTTGTAATATTTGGTGGCTCCTAAAGGAGCCGTTTTTAAACGTGTTAAAGCTGATTTAGGCCTTGGGTTTCTTCTCAGTCTTCTTAGGCAGAAGTACGGCCTGGATGTTGGGAAGAACACCTCCCTGTGCGATGGTGACCCCGGCGAGCAGTTTGTTCAACTCCTCGTCATTACGGACAGCCAGCTGAAGGTGACGAGGAATGATTCTTGTCTTTTTGTTGTCACGCGCAGCGTTACCTGCCAACTCGAGGATTTCAGCGCTCAGATATTCGAGCACAGCAGCCAAATACACAGGAGCACCAGCGCCAACACGCTCCGCGTAATTGCCTTTGCGGAGAAGACGATGGATACGACCAACTGGGAATTGAAGCCCTGCTCGGGATGAGCGGCTCTTGGACTTGGTACCCTTAGCTTTACCTTTACCGCGACCAGACATGTCGATACGAATCGTTTAATTGCTTTCAACAAGAGTGAATAGTAAACTTTTTACTAGTTCTGATATTTATAGTTGGTTTATTATGCTGGAAGGATCGAAAAGCACCAATCAGTAGCAAGTTTCGTATAATTAAATGTCATCGCAATATTGTTGAACAAAGAGAGAATGACATGGAAATTAACCCCCAGGGTCAGTATAAGAATAAGCCAATCATCGATCGAGAATTTCGATCCGTATGGTAATAGATCCTTTCACAATTCCGATATAAATACAAACCGAACAACGCTACACAACCATCAATCTTCGTTATTTAACAAGATGCCAGCTAAAGTTGCAGGAAAGAAGGGCGAGAAGAAAGCCGGAAAGGCGAAGGCTATTGCTGATGGAAAGAAAAAGAGGAGAGGCAAGAGAAGAGAAAGCTATGCCATCTACATCTACAAAGTGTTGAAGCAAGTTCACCCTGACACTGGTATCTCCAGTAAAGCCATGGGCATCATGAACTCGTTCGTTAACGACATCTTCGAGCGCATCGCCACCGAAGCATCCCGTCTCGCTCACTACAACAAGAAATCAACCATCAGCTCTCGCGAGATCCAGACCGCCATTAGGCTGCTTCTGCCCGGCGAACTGGCTAAACACGCCGTCAGTGAAGGAACCAAGGCTGTGACCAAGTACACCAGCAGCAAGTAAACTCACTCTGTGGGTTTCCCGCCTAAAACAAACGGCTCCTTTAGGAGCCACCAAATGTCATGAAAGTCGATGCAATATGAGCCTGAATGAAAATTTACCCTTAAATTTCATTTCTGTCGATTGCGATGTTCCCGTAACCTAGAAAAAAGAGTTTTATGTATGTTCTGTTTAAAACTGACCGTCTTATTGAGACGAAAAAGAATGTGATAAATGATGCACATACAATAATGGGTCATGTATAAGCCACGAAGACTATTATTCGTATCATTAACTTCCTTTTTCCAAATTTCTCACTGGATTTTACACTCTCTGAAGGGCCAGGTTTTTTTTTGTATGTAAACGATACCCTCTTCGCACATAAATACCCGACAACTGACCTAAAACGACATGAAGTTAGACGAGCAACGTATATTTGTTATCAGTGGCGGATCTAGGGGAGGGGCTCGAAGGGCCCGGGTCCCCCCTTATTTTGGGTAAAAAAAAAAAAAAAAGAAAAGCCGGCCATACAATTTTTATAATGTTGGTTTTGAGAATTTAGTATTGGATCAACTAATTATCCCCAAATTGATATTTCTCTTTACTCTTATCACTTGTCTGCTTGATATTGTACTGATATTGTACGGAGAAATTCTCTTTTGGTCACTCATGGGAGTTAAAGGGTTAAGACTAATTACAGTTGGAAGAGCTTTAAAATAAGATGCTATTCAGTAGTTCGTGGAGTTAATTTTCTTGGGACCTTCGAACGAAATTGTCTAAGAAGCATTGTGATTTTCCTCGCACGCTTAAGATCTAGTGGAAAACATTGATGGAGTAGGAAACACAGGTGGAAATAAATATAAATTCCCCATATTGATAAATTTCTTTATTCTCATCAATTGTGTACTTGACAGTGTATTGGTATTCTAAGCGCAATTTTTGTCTCAGCAACTCAAGGGAGTTAAACCGTTAAGTTTTCACTGAACACTTATTGGGACTGGTATAAGAAACACTGCATATCTTTGACAGTCTGTTCATGATCTCTCATTTTCATCTGTTTTCTGCTGTTTCTGATTGTTTTACTCTCAGATTTTCTTTCCCGTTTCCTATTTAGGTCTTGCATTTTCAGCCAAAGGTGTTAGTCCATCAGTAAGTATTCCATTCCTAGAGTTATTGCAATATACTTTGACTGAGATCCATCTAACTGATATTTTCACACCATTCAGAAACTGTACCTTTTTAGAGGTACAAATTCCAAGCTTCCCATCAAAATAATAAGATTATTGATAGTTAAATAACAATTAAGTTTTCCACAAATTTTCCTAATTCATTCTCTTCATAACTGGTTCTTGTAAGCAGCATTTCAGGATAACTACTTGAAGTCCTCTGCACTGAATAAACCCTAACAGTGAAGAGAGAAAGTACTTGATTACTACATGACCTGAGATTTCAGCTTCAATCTGACATAAACTGTTGTTCAGATGTACAGATTACACCATGGGAAATGCACACAAACAATTTTCACTTTTAAATTAAGTAGAATGAATAAATGCAGTGAGTAGGCTGCTTTTCTTAGGTAAGTATTGAATGAGGCACAGAATGTCATAAACAAAGCATTTTTTATACACTGATCTGAGTCGTCTAGTTTGGTGGTACTGAGACTTTTGAAAAGCAAAAAGGAAAAATTGCTTGTTTACAGTTTGGCTCAGGTGTCCATATAGCCCCTGCGTATTATAGTAGGCTCAATAATGAAATCAGGAGACCCACAAGTTGATAAAGTTTGACAATTAGAGTAAATTGGATTATGAAATGTTGAAATTGGCAAAGGATCATTTATTATATTCTAAATACAGCACACAGCTGTGCTCAGTGTCAACTAAATCAGAGCAAACTTAGATTTTTCTCTCAGTCTGACTTCCCTTCCAAAGTAATGATGTTTACTTACATGACTTTCTTTTAAAATGCCTTTAAGAATTGCCCATTAGCCATCAAAGAGATTATAGCTGAGTTGATTTCCTGATACATACATATGTCATCTAGAAGTTTTTGTTGTTGTTTTTAACAAGCTTGTTATTTCTTTCTCAAACAACAATGAATTGCGGAAAGTCCCAAACTATGCACTTTTTTTCACTATATTGTCAGCTAACAGGAAATAACCATGAAATTCTTATACATGGGTTTATTTCCAAAGTTTACTTTGAACCATTTTAAGTATCATACATAAACATGTTTCTGACAGTACATAAATCAGTGTTTATGAAAGTTAATGAGGATATTTTTCTAACAAAAGAGAAAGGGGAGGACATTTTGCATGAAAAAAGCATTGGGTGATTATAACTTTTGGCACAATATGCACATAAGCAGATAATAACTAACAAAAATACGTTCCAAAATTGAGGAGAAAATGCGTCAACTAGATACCTTTGCTCTTCTTAATATTGAGTCCTTAGATGGGTCATATGGATGCTCCTTGGATGGAATCTCAAGAATAGCTGGAATAGCTTTATCATAATTATCAAGAATATGCCTGATCTCCTCAGCAATCTTACAACAAAATGAACAATGAAAAAAAATACATGATCAGGAGAACAAACAATACATAGATACAATGGTAATCAATGTCCTCTTTTAACTTGGAGGTGCTTCACCCTAATGATTAGTAGCCTTAAAAGCTGATGGGTTTTTTGGGAAAAGTTTGATCAACAAAATGAAGGCAGTGGAACTAACAAAATAAGAAACAGAGCTGCCTGCCTATAAAACCACCAGCTGAAATTCATTATTTCATTTTATCACACCTATTAATCAAACAGAACAGCTTGAGCTAAACAACATGTCACAAAAAAATAAAGTGTAAATCAAACTGTCTATTTAATGCCAGAAAAGACTGGGATGCTAAGGGAGCCTGTTGGCAGGGATGGCCTCTGAATTGAAATACCCAGGTTTGAGTTTTAAAAGGGTTCCTACACTAATAAGCTAATTAAGTGCTGTTGATGGAGTAGTCTACAGTGAAGTAGCATCCCATCCTAGAAAAGTGGCAAAAGTTCTTGTTGCTTTATGCCACAGAAAGTAAGAAAAGTTGTGGTGCTGTTGCCCAATTAGTTTGTGGAATATAGCAGTTTCATGCCACTTTTTCTAAGGACCAAATAAGAAGCATTGTCAATAGTAGAACTTTGTCACTATCTTGATTTAACCTCTTAAAGAAAAAAAATCAACTTCTTACATTTTGATTGATCAAAAGAATGGCAATATCACTTCTATTTGTAAACTGCTGAAAGGCTTCTTCAAGTTCACTAACTGAAGTTTCTGTAGAGAACAAATGAAAAGTTATTCAAACAAGAAAAAGATACAAGATAATAAAAAAGTTTATCCTTCCACTGCAAAGACCTGAAAAGTAGATATCTTGACTAATAAATATATTTAGTTTTATCTCAGAGGGCACGGTAACAAATCTTGCAATCTGACTGGTTCTTAGCATGGTCCATACCAAGAACATCCCTTGCTTTGTTGCCATTCTCCATAAATAATTTTTTTTTTCCAGCTGGGCATTATTTTCAAGCAAAGTATTTCAAAGCAAATCAAGCCAATTAATAACTTATTAGTTGTCTCTTCTCTCACTCTCAAATCATTTTGGTTGCCAGCTGAAAATTCTTTTCAAAATGAATTTGTAGCAAATGTGTCATTAAATGGGTTGACACACAGCCTAAAAAAAGTTTTCAATTAACTTTTGTCTTTCATAAACACTAACTCAGAAAGTTAAACCTATGAGATATTTGTTTACAATCGAATTAGTCAATGGAACTTTCACTCATTTAACATCTGAATTCTCTCAATCAATTTTTTTCCTTATAGCAAAGTTTTCAGTCCTACTTTAAATACACTTTTGGTAAGTCTTTGCAAGTCAACTTGTGCAGTTAAACCATTTGCACCATAAATTGCACAAAAAAAGACAAATGAATTCCACAAGAAAAAGCTAAATTAAATTCCCCCTGGGTCTAGTTAAAGTGTCTCATTTGACTTCAGTTATTTGGTGGAAACAGGCCAGATTTGCGCCATTGCAGCAAACACATAAGCAAACCCCCACAACTTCAAAAAATACATTTGAATTTACTTACAAATACAGAATTTACAGAGCTATTCTTTGTGCAATAATCATCAATGGAAGTAAATAATAATACTTTCTGTAAGATAATTGAATGGTTTTGAAGAAACATTGTCTTGATAGTCATTGAACTTGAGTTTGTTTGCCAAATCAGTACTGTTTGTTTTTTGTTTTGTTTTCGAAAGTGTACATGCTGTTTTTTCTAACACACTTTCTAATTGTCAGGTGTCAGATTGTGACAGATACTTGTATAAATAATGTTTCAAAGTTTGTTTGGAAGCCTTTTAAACAACTTTTAGCGGCACTACACAAATAAAATTATCTTGGTGAAGTCTCTCTCTTTAATTTGTGTTATCTCTGTTTTAACTAACATTTTCTCACTCAAAAATTCCAGTCATTTTAGCAGGAATTTCATGAAGATTTAGAACAAAATAAGTATAGGTAATCACATGAGGCCAAGTACTATTAAGGATTCAGGAGGATCTTGCCATAATTACAGCTCTAAAGCATTCCAGTCATTTTTAACAAATTTCAAGATAATGAACGGTTGCTATGCATGAATCATGATTACTAAAAATGATTAAGAAAAAATAAAATCAGCGCTCAGTAATTTTGCCCTTTATTGATTAATCACCAGCATGGAGGTCCAAATTTGGAAAAACTGAGCCCTCTGTCTCAAGGTCCAACATGAACCTCTCAGCTGGCAAATAACATACATAAATGCAGTGCTTTCAAGACCTCCGTAAAGCATCTGCCAGAGGATAATGTGAAAAACAATTTCAATCTTGTTAGCCCATTGGTTCCACTAGAGTAAAATTGCCTCAAACAGAATTTTCTGTGGTGAACTTTGGTAAATGATCATTTAATATTACTCTCTTCCTTTGTAACATTTGTCTAACTGATTGTTTATTTCTATTAAAAATCTTCCATTTGCTGAGTTGCAAACCTGCTGCCTGAGTTTCACACAAGAAGTCCTCTGAAAGGACATGTAGTAACTGGTTACTGAAATTTTAGTCACTATGTTGTAAAATCAAAATCTTATTTTCCAGGAAATTTGGTTTATGGTATGATAAGACAATACCAATAGTTTTTTACTCAAAACTTGTTTATAAAGATAAAAGTCACCTGAAAGAAATCTAAAAGACCTCCAGGTGTTTGAGGTCTCACTTCAGCTTCCAAAAATGCACAGAAAGATCCAGAATGGTGTTAACGATCCAAAATCGCATAAAACTAAACACTTCTAACAAGCAGTCAACAAAAATCAAAACTAGATAATATCCAGTGTGAATCAAATTTCCGTCTGCATATGTTCTCAAATTTTGAGGCTACGATCCAAACCTTTCTTCACCTGATCTTTGTTTACAGAGGTTTCTTCTGCTTGCAATTGGAAACAAACCTCTCAGTCTCCTGCTTCAAACACTGAACAAATTTTTTGTGATTGCAGGTTTTTGTTTAGTTTTTGTTTTGTTTTTTGATGTGTTGTGTTTTTTTCCTTTTTTTTTTTTTGTTACTGGGTGAAATTAAAGATTTGCAGCAGTGAATTTCACCAGTTTTATTTCCTGGGAAAACCTCAGAATTATTCTTTTCTGCAGAATTGTTCATTTAATATTTACATAGGATAATTGAATTAAATCAATCAGCCAATGAATTTTAGTTGTTCCTACAACTCATGTTTCATATCGGATCATAAACAATCGTCGTGTTAACATAGAACAAGGTCTTCTTCGATTTTTCAGCAAATACAGCTTTTTTTTTTTATAAATTAAAGTTTAGACACTAAGTGTTTAATAGCCTTTTTGTAGTTCTCTTCACAGCCAAGCCTAGGTTAAGTGTCTATAGGCAAGGTCAACATCTTTCCAAAAAAATTTCAAATTTGATTTACATGTGCTATTAACAAGCAAGCTGTTTTAACTAACTTTGATTTTCAAGTTTGTTTTCTAACCAGCAGTTGAGAAGAACTGCTTTTGTTTTATTTATCTAAAAGTATTTAATGATTTTAGTTCAGCACAAATTTGTTTGAAAATTATTTAGGTAACTGACAATGTACACTTCTACTTTGAGCATGATTAACTTTTATAGAACAAGCAAAACAAGCAGAGAAAGAAAACTGCCAGTGAAAGAATGAATCTAACAAACAAAGGCTATAGAATTAAAAGAATAACTGGGGTGAATACTCCAGTACTAACTTGACTGTTATTTTCTATATTATTTATTAACCTTTTTGTTCTGTAAATTTGACTTGGACATGGCAAAGTATACGCGGCGATTCACAACAGAATACCTGCCAGAGCTCCAGCGGGTGCCGGGTGTTATTGAAAGAACTGACATGGATTGTTTATCTCTTATGCAAGAAGTTGCTGCTATTGCAAGATGATGCTTTTTATGTGATAGTTTCCTCAACTCTCTTCACTTATATCCGTAAAAGTGTATAATATTAAAACGAGGAATTATTTCCTGATCGCTCTTGTGAGTGTAAGGGTTGATCACGACCACGACGCTAAAAAACTAGCAATAACCCCTCTTTTTCGGTTGCGAAACTGGATCCAAACTAAACGAAAAAAAAAAAATTTACCGGTACAAAGTCAGAAGCAAAAGTTGCATATTAATTTGTAAATTTCTGCTACGAGTCAATTGGGGTTGCCACCCTATCGATACTGAGCAAAACAAAAGCACTTGGGATACATTCTTAGCACTTCATTATTTTAAAAAAAAACCGCCTCTTTAAGGATTTTTGTAGAATGGAGGGAATTATTTCACACTCCCCCATATCAGTTGTATGATTGCCGCATCCTGGTTGCAAGTTCCTGAGACTGCAAAAGAATGCAATTTGCTCCTCCTACTAAGTCTGATTTATGTCTTAAGCTTACTCTTTTTTTTAATCGAGTTAATAAACACAATTCCCAGCAATCAAAGAGAAATTTCTTACCTTTAGTCACAACCAGGAAATTTTTCTGTCTCTTGGCGTTAATTTCTCCTATTCCTCCCAATAGAAAACCAGTGCAAGTGTCCTTAACCAAGAAAAGTGAACCTAAGTCATTCTGACGATAACTAGACAAGATTATGAAGAGAATTGGTCCTTACCTCGTCTCCTATCACAGCAACAAGTCTTCCCTTCGCACCAGCAGAAATACCTGAGTGCGCCATCTTGGATTCTCGTTTGAGTCGAACGTCGTGTATGGAGAATTGTAGTGTACACATGATTTCCTCATCGCCGACAACCTTTGTCGTAATCCTGAGGTGTGTGAGACTTTATATAGGATATTTCAACAACTGCAACGATGCCTCGAGTAATCGTAGTAAAGGAGGAGAGCCACTAAATGATCAGCATCGAGGCAATAACACTGAATTTATATTCTTGGTGTAAAAATTATTTGTTTGTATGAATACCGCTCAGAGTTTGGGGCAAACCGGCTGAGCGGCTGCACTACTCATTTCCAGACTATTTCATCTTCACCTGCAGTGAATCGAACAAGATCATCGGCAGACTTATCGATAAAGGATCACATCCATTAATTATGGGAATGAATGAATAGCGAAAAGATCCATACCCCTTTTATAACCCGACAAAAGTTCTTCTTTATGGAAGTAACATTACTCTAAAGAACTGAGCGAGAACTCTTGCTCCGCGTAAGTTTTAGAGAGTAACTTTATATTGCACGCGCAGCGTTCTACTTTTAAAATAAAACAGTAGGGTATTTCTTTAGTTTCAAGACTGAAAAGCTAACATCTTCTGTAATTGTAATTGCAGTGTAATTATTTAATTAATAAGATACATGAAAAAATTACTAAATTCTTATTGGTTGAGATAAATGCAGTTTTCAGGTAATTCAATGCAGAAGAGGGTTAATTCAGTGCAAAGAAGTGATAAACCAAACTGAAAAATTCCTTGAATTGTTTAGCCGAACTTTGAACCTTTTTCCTCCTTAAAGATGTGAAAATATCATTGTATATTATTGTTTTGAACGCACGCGGTTGTTTTGACCGAACGCACAACGTCACTTGCAGGGTATGAATAAATTATTTTTGCACTTGATGCGCGCGCTTTGCTTCTGCATAATTTTTATAAGCTATCTCGTATTTTTTCATGTTTTTTTTTAGTCTTTTAAAATAGTTACTCGTAATTATTTATTCCAAATTGCGCTCGAAATTATGTGATTACCTATACTAACAATACGAGTACATTTTCATGTAACTCGGGTGCAAAGTTGTAACACAAGTGCAAATTACAAATAGCGCGCGCGCTGCCAAAATTGCGTCCGTCTCGACTCTCTGTGATGCTTTTTCAAGGATTAAAAGCTGCACTCGCCCTACGGGCTCGCTCAATTTTGTTGTCTTTGAAAACTTTACTCGTGCTTATTTGCACCAAATTGCACCCGAAATCATGTTGTTACCAATACTAATTACTGACGTATGATTGCAAATTTAGTAATTCCTAATTGTGACGTAGAATCAGTATTGCGGAGCTTTTCTTCATATTAGGAGTTGAGTTGCAGTGCGGAAACAAATTTTCTTTCAAGAGAAATTTTTTTACGACAAGAAATGAAATTGTGGGTCGGGATTGTGTTCTTGGTTGTGTACGCACAACTAGGAATCAATGCTCGGCCCATTCCAAGATTAAGACCACTAATGAGTGATGGTAGGTAAACATTCTTGTCCGTTCCTGAATTATGTCCTAGTTAACCGATGAACCGAGAATGCCGTCTTGTCGCATCACTGGCCAACAGATAACTGAAGTTCTATTAATCAAATTTAGAATCTGTTTCGATTGAGTGATTACAATGTAACCTAACTTATAACAACAAGAAAGTAATTAGCACAGAGCTGCCAGACGTAACCTACTTCAAAGCGACGATTGTTGAGAAACGCCTGTGCGCGTCAGTGATTGCATAAAAAATGGGACAAAGGAGTTTTTACCGAGTTTTAAGTACTTAGGTGCCAGCTTTCGTCGTTTGATTTGGAGTGAAACCGTGGAACAGAAGTGTTCAAAGGATATGTTGTGTATCCGCGTTAGTTGAATGTCGGCAACCATAAACCCTGAATGAAATTTCAGGCACCTAAAGTTTTCAAAAACTTCGCTTTTTCTTTGACGAGTCTGCACTTTCACTACTTTATGTCCTACATTTTCACGGTTTCCCTGAGTGAGCCCGCGAAAGTCCGTGACGCGTGCAAGCGTATTTCAGCTCCATCTTTCTAAGTTGTACAGTTCGTGATCCATTTAGGTCATGCGCGCGAATTTTTTTAGTTTTAGGAGCATTGAGCAAATTAAACTTAAGCTAAGGAAAAGTCAGTTCTCAACGATAATTTATCAAAAATTCAAAGAGTAAAGATGAAGCTCTTGATTCTGAAAATAACCATTCCGAAACGGAAGTTTTACACCAGAATGACTCTAATATTAATGACTCCTTTAGTACTAATGGTAAAACTAAGGTAATTTTGCGAAAATTTTTACTGGCGATTAGGTTGCGACTCATGGAGGAATTTTAATATAAAAATTGATACTTATGAATCTTTTTGTGTTAAAGGAGAACTAGTGCACCATGAAGAAGTCGTCAGGAGAGACAATGATGATGATGAATCTATCGATATTGAAGGTAACCCCATGAAACGTGTCATGAAGATTCACAGCGCAATTAAGGTGATGCTAATGACTCTGTTTTTGCCAAAGGTGAGTTAGATGACGATGAAGAAGCCGAGTGGAGAGACAACAACAATAAGGACTTTATCGATAGTGACGGTGAGCCCTACGAAACGTATCATGGATATTTACAACGAAATTAAGATAATACTAAGACTCTCTTTGTCCTAAAGGTGGGCTTGAAAACGATGAAGAGGTCGAATGGGGAGACAGTGATGATAATGACTTTATCGATGATAAAGATAAGCCCCATGAAGTGTATTATGGAGATTCACAGTGGAATTGAGATGATACTAATGAATCTCTTTGTACGTAAGGTGAGCCAGAAGACGAAGAGGAAGCTAAATGGAGAGACGGTGATGATGAATCTAGCGAAAGTAAAGGTAAACCCCATAAAAACATATGCTTGAGATTAACAACAGAATTAAGCTGATACAAATAATTCTCTTTGCGCTAAAGGTGAGCCAAATGATGATGCAGAAGCTGAGTGGAGAGAAAGTGAGGATAATGATTCTATCGATAGTAAAGCTAAGCCCCATGGAACAAATCATGCATATCACAAGCGCAATGAAAATGATTCTAATCCAACTATTTTTGCTAAAGGTGAAGTATACGACGATGAAGAAGCCGAAAGGATAGGCGATATTGATGATGACTCCAGCGATAGTAAAGGTAAATCCGATGAAACTGATCATGGAAATTTACATCAGAATTAACAACATGGTAATTACTCTCATTGTGCTTAAGGTGAGTTGGAAGACGACGAAGAAGATGAGTGGAGTGACCGTATTGATAACGATTCTATGGGTAGTGAAGGTAGGTCCCGTGAAAGTTATCATGAAGATTCACAGCCAAATTAAGCCGATTTTAAGGACTCTGTTTGTGTTTAAGGTGAGGCGGATGGCAGTAAAGAAGCCGTGTGGAGAGACGGTGATGATCTTGAGTCTGTCGGTGGTGAAGGTAAGCCCCAAAGAAACTTATCACGGAGATTCACAGCGGAATTGAAATGATAAGTACGACTCTCTTTCAGTGAAAGGTGAGCTGGATGACCATCAAGAAGCCAAATGGAGAGGCTCTGAGGACTATGAATCTATTGATAGTGAAGGTAGGCCCTATAAAACTTATCATGGAGATTCAGAGCAGGATTAGAACGATATTCATGACTCTCTTTGTATGAAAGGTTAGTTGTATGACGATGATGATGATTGAAGTGAGAGATTATAACGAGTCTATCAATGGCTATGGTATGCCCCATGAAACTCATCATGGAAGCTCATACTAGAATTCAAGAGGTATTAATAACTCGTTGTATTCGCTGTAGGTGATCTGGATGATGATAAAGAAGCCGATTGGAGAGACAGTGATGATCTTGAATCTATCGACAATAAAGGTATCCCCATGAAACTCCCGAGATTCACAGCCTAATAAAGACGATACTAAGTGCTCTCTTTGTGCTAAAGGTGAACCCGATAACGATGAAGATGTACAGTGGAGAGACGGTGATAACGATGACTCTAGCGATAGTGAGGGTAAGCCTCATAAAACTTATCATGGAGATTTATTTCGGAATCAAGATGATACTAACGACTCTCTTCTTGCTTAAGATGAGTTGGATGACGATGATGAAGATGAGTGGAGGGACGCTGATGATATTGAATCTATCGATAGTGAAGGTAGGCTCCGGGAAACTTGTCATAGGGATTCGCAACACATTTAAAATGATACTTATTACCCTCTTTTTGCTAAAGGTGAGTTGGATGACGATGATGAAGATGAGTGGAGAGACGGTTATGATAGTGAAGGTCAGCCCCGTTAAACGTATCATGTAGATATACGGCACCTTTAAAAATAATACTTATGACTCTCTATGTGCTAAAGTTGGATCACGATGAATAAGCCGAATGAAGAGACGGCGATGGTTATGAATCTATTGGTAGTGAGGGTAAACCTCATAAAACTTATCATGGAGATTTGCAGTAGAATTAAGATTATTGTAATGACTCTCTTTGTATGAAATGTGAGTTTTCTAATTATGAAGAAGATGAGTGGAGAGACAGAGATGATCACGAATCGATCAAAAGTGATGGTTTGCCACATATAGCGTATCATGGAGACCCATTCTAGAATAAGAGATACTAATATCTCACTTCTTACCTGCTACGGGCGAGCCGTATGATTATAAAAAAGCCGAGCGGGGAGAAGGTGATGATCTTGAATCTATCGATAAGGAAGGTATGCCTCGTGAAAGCTATCATGGAAATTTCCAGCTTAACTAAGACGATACTAAGATAAACTGTCTGTCCTAAAGGTGAGCCTGATAACGTTGAAGATGCAGAGTGGAGAGAGGGAGATAATGATGATTTCATCGATAGTGAGGGTAAGCCCCATGAGAATTATCATGGAGATTCATAGCAGAATCAAGATGATACTAACGACTCTCTTCGCGCTAAAGGTGAGTTGGATGACGATGATGAAGATGAGTGGAGGGATGGTGATGATAATGAGTCTATCGATAGTGGAGGTAAACCTCATGAAACATATCATGTAGATTTAAAGAATATTTAAAATGATACTTATGAGCCTCTTTGTGCTAAAGGTGAGTTGGGTTTCGATGGAGAAGATGAGTGGAGAGACGGAGATTTGCGACACATTTAAAATGATACTTTTACTCTCTTTGTGCTAAAGGTGAGTTAGATGACGATGCAGAAGTCGAATGGAGAGACGGTGGTGATAAGAAAACTATTGATAGTGAAGGTAAACCTTATAAAACATATCATGGAGATTCGCAACACATTTAAAATAGGAGATACTAATGTCTTACTTTGTATTTGCTTAAGGCGAGCCGGATGATTATAAAGAAACCGAGTGGCGAGACGGTGATGATCTTAAATCTATCGATAACGAAGGTATGCCCCATGAAACATGTTATGGAAATATACCGCTCAACTAAGACGATACTAAGAACTGTGTTTGTCTCAAAGGTGAACCCGATCACGATGAAGATGCCGAGTGGAGATTCAGTGATAATCATGATACCAGCGACAGTGAGGGTAAGCCCCATGAAACTTATCATGGAGATTTATTGCGGAATCAAGATGATACTAACCACTCTCTTCTTGCTTAAGATGAGTTGGATGACGATGATGAAGATGAGAGGAAGGACCATGATAATAATGAATCTATCGATAGTGAAGGTAAGCCCCGTGGAACTTGTCATAGGGATTCGCAACACATTTAAAATGATACTTATTACCCTCTTTGTGCTAAAGGGGAGTTGGATGACGATGATGAAGATGAATGGAGGGACGGTGATGATAGTGAATCAAGCGATAGTGAAGGTAAGCCTCGTTAAACGTATCATATAGATATACAGCACCTTCAAAATTATACTTATGACTCTCTTAGTGCTAAAGGTGAGTAGTTGGATCACGATGAACAAGCCGAACGAAGAGACGGTGATGGTTTTGAATCTATTGATAGTGAGGGTAAACCCTATAAAACTTATCGTTGAGATTCGCAGTAGAATCAGGGTTATTGTAATGACTCTATTTGTATGAAATGTGAGTTTTCTAATGATGAAGAAGATTTAGTGGAGAGACAGAGATGATACAAATCGATCAAAAGTGATAGTTTGCCACATATAGCGTATCATGGAGACCCATTCTAGAATAAGAGATACTAATATCTCACTTTGTATTTGCTAAAGGCAAGCCGGATGATTATAAAGAAGCCGAGTGGCGAGACGGTGATGATCTTGAATCTATCGATAAGGAAGGTATGCCTCGTAAAAAACTATCATGGAGATTCACAGCTTAACTAAGACGATTCTAAGGATCGACTGTCTTTGTCCCAAAGGTGAACCGGATAACGTTGAAGAGGCAGAGAGGAGAGAGGGGGATAATGATAATCTCAGCGATAGTGAGGGTAAGCCCCATGAGAGTTATCATGGAGATTCATAGCAGAATCAAGATGATACTGACAAATCTCTTCGTGCTAAAGGTGAGTTGGATGACGATGATGAAGATGAATGGAGGGACGGTAATGGTTATGAATATAGCGATAGTGAAGGTAAGCCTCGTTAAACGTATCATGTAGATATACGGCACCTTTAAAATAATACTTATGACTCTCTATGTGCTAAAGGTGAGTTGGATCATGATGAATATGCCGAATGAAGAGACGGCGATGGTTATGAATCTATTGATAGTAAGGGTAAACTTCATAAAACGTATCATGCAGATTTGCAGTAGAAATAAGATTACTGTAATGACTCCCTTTGTATGAAATGTGAGTTTTCTAATTATGAAGAAAATGAGTGGAAAGACAGAGATGATCACGAATCGATCAAAAGTAATAGTTTGCCACATATAGCGTATCATTGGGACCCATTTTAGAATAAGAGATACTGATGTCACGCTTTGTATTTGCTAAAGGCGAGCCGTATGATTATAAAGAAGCCGAGTGGCGAGAAAATGATGATCTTGAATCTATCGATAAGGAAGGTATGCCCCATGAATCATATTATAAAAATATACAGCTTAACTACAACGACACTAAGGACTGTCTTTGTCTCAAAGGTGAACCCAATCACGATGCTAAAGATGAGTTGGATGACGATGATGAAGATGAGTGGAGGGACGCTGATGATAATGAATCTATCGATAGTGAAGGTAGGCTCCGGGAAACTTGTCATAGGGATTCGCAACACATTTACAATGATACTTATTACCCTCTTTGTGCTAAAGGTGAGTTGGATGACGATGATGAAGATGAATGGAGGGACGGTGATGATACTGAATCAAGTGATAGTGAAGGTAAGGCTCGTTAAACGTATCATGTAGATATACGGCACCTTTAAAATTATACTTATGACTCTTTATGTGCTAAAGGTGACTAGTAGGATCACGATGAAAAAGCCGAATGAAGAGACGGCGATGGTTATGAATCTATTGATAGTGAGGGTAAACTTCATAAAACTTATCATGGAAATTTGCAGTAGAATTAGGATTATTAAAATGACTCTATTTGTATGAAATGTGAGTTTTCTAATGATGAAGAAGATGAGTGGAGAGACAGAGATGATCACGAATCGATCAAAAGTGATGGTTTGCCACATATAGCGTATCATGGAGACCCATTCAAGAATAAGAGATACTGATGTCACGCTTTGTATTTGCTAAAGGCGAGCCGTATGATTATAAAGAAGCCGAGTGGCGAGAAAGTGATGATCTTGAATCTATCGATAAGGAAGGTATGCCCCATGAATCATATTATGGAAATATACAGCTTTACTAAGACGACACTAAGGCCTGTCTTTGTCTCAAAGGTGAACCCGATCACGATGAAGATGCCGAGTGGAGATTCAGTGATAATCATGATACCAGCCACATTGAGGGTAAGCCTCATGAAACTTATTATGGAGATTCATTGCGGAATCAAGATGATACTAACCACTCTCTTCTTGCTAAAGATGAGTTGGATGACGATGATGAAGATGAGTGGAGGGACGCTGATGATATTGAATCTATCGATAGTGAAGGTAGGCTCCGGGAAACTTGTCATAGGGATTCGCAACACATTTAAAATGATACTTATTACCCTCTTTTTGCTAAAGGTGAGTTGGATGACGATGATGAAGATGAATGGAGGGACGGTGATGATACTGAATCAAGTGATAGTGATGGTAAGGCTCGTTAAACGTATCATGTAGATATACGGCACCTTTAAAATTATACTTATGACTCTTTATGTGCTAAAGGTGACGAGTAGGATCACGATGAATAAGCCGAATGAAGAGACGGCGATGGTTATGAATCTATTGATAGTGAGGGTAAACTTCATAAAACTTATCATGGAAATTTGCAGTAGAATTAGGATTATTAAAATGACTCTATTTGTATGAAATGTGAGTTTTCTAATGATGAAGAAGATGAGTGGAGAGACAGAGATGATCACGAATCGATCAAAAGTGATGGTTTGCCACATATAGCGTATCATGGAGACCCATTCTAGAATAAGAGATACCAGTATCTCACTTCCTACCTGCTACGGGCGAGCCGTATGAATATAAAGAAGCCCAACGGGGAGAAGGTGATGATCTTGAATCTATCGATAAGGAAGGTATGCCTTGTGAAAGCTATCATGGAGATTTCCAGCTTAACTAAGACGATACTAAGATAAAATGTCTGTCCTAAAGGTGAGCCTGATAACGTTGAAGATGCAGAGTGGAGAGAGGGAGATAATGATGATTTCATCGATAGCGAGGGTAAGCCCATGAGAGTTATCATGGAGATTCATAGCAGAATCAAGATGATACTAACGACTCTCTTCGTGCTGAAGGTGAGTTGGATGACGATGATGAAGAGTGGAGTGACGGTGATGATAATGAGTCTATCGATAGTGAAGGTAAACCTCATAAAACATATCATGGAGATTCTCAACACATTTAAAATAGGAGGAACTAAAGTCTTTCTTTTTATTTGTTAAAGGCGAGCCTGATGATTATAAAGAGGTTGAGTGGCGAGACGGTGATGGTCTTAAGTCTATCGATAATGAAGGTATGCCACATTAAACATATTATGGAAATATACAGCTTAACTAAGACGACACTAAGGACTGTCTTTGTCTCAAAGGTGAACCCGATCACGATGAAGATGCAGAGTGGAGATTCAGTGATAATCATGATACTAGCGATAGTGAGGGTAAGCCTCATGAAACTTATTATGGAGATTCATTGCGGAATCAAGATGATACTAACCACTCTCTTCTTGCTTAAGATGAGTTGGATGACGATGATGAAGATGAGTGGAGGGACGCTGATGATAATGAATCTATCGATAGTGAAGGTAGGCCCCGTGGAACTTGTCATAGGGATTCGCAACACATTCAATATGATATTTATTACCCTCTTTGTGCAAAAGGTGAGTTGGATGACGATGATGAAGATGAATGGAGGGACGGTGATGATAGTGAATCAAGCGATAGTGAAGGTAAGCCTCGTTAAACGTATCATGCAGATATACGGCACCTTTAAAATTATACTTATGACTCTCTATGTGCTAAAGGTCAGTAGTTGGTTTAGTAAGTAGAGATTCATAGCAGAATCAAGATGATACTAACGACTCTCTTCGTGCTAAAGGTGAGTTGGATGACGATGATGAAGATGAGTGGAGGGATGGTGATGATAATGTTTCTATCGATAGTGAAGGTAAACCTCATGAAACCTATCATTATAGATTTAAAGAATATTTAAATGTTACTTATAAGCCTCTTTGTGCTAAAGGTGAGCTGGATGACGATGACGAAGCCGGAAGAAGAGGCGGTAATGATGAAAAACATATTGATAGTGAAGGTAAGCTTCATAAAACATATGGAGATTCGCAACACAGAAATTCACAGCTTAACTAAGACGATACTAAGGACTGTCTTTGTCTCAAAGGTGAGCCCGATAACGATGAAGACGCAGGGTGGAGATTCAGTTATAATCATGATACCAGCGACAGTGAGGGTAAGCCCCATGAAACTTATCATGGGCATTCAAAGCAGAATGAAGATGATACTAACGACTCTCTTCGTGTTAAAGGTGAGTTGGATGAGGATGTGGAAGCTGAATGGAGAGACTATGATGATCAAAAATCTATTGATAGTGAAGGTAAGCTTCATAAAACATATCATGGAGATTCATACACATTTAATATGATAGTAATGTGCCCTATTGTGTTTAAGGTGGGTTGGATGATGATAATGATGATGAATGGAGGGACGGTTATGATATTGAAGCTATCGAAAGTGAAGGTAAGCCTCATGAAACTTATCACGAAGAGTCGCAACACATTTAAAATGATATTGATAGTGAAGGTAAGGTTCATAAAACATATGGAGATTCGCAACACAGAAATTCACAGCTTAACTAAGACGATACTAAGGACTGTCTTTGTCTCAAAGGTGAGCCCGATAACGATGAAGACGCAGAGTGGAGATTCAGTGATAATCATGATACCAGCGACAGTGAGGGTAAGCCCCATGAAACTTATCATGGAGATTTAAAGCAGAATGAAGATGATACTAACGACTCTCTTTGTGCTAAAGGTGAGTTGGATGACGATACAGAAGCCGAATGGAGAGACGGTGATGATAAAAAAACTATTGATAGTGAAGGTAAACCTCATGAAACATATCATGAAGATTCGCAACACATTTAAAATGATACTAATGACCCTCTTTGTGCTGAAGGTGAGTTGGATGACGATGATGAAGATGAATGGAAAAACGGTGATGATAATAAATCTATCGATAATGAAGGTAAACCTCATGGAACCTATCATGTAGATTTAAAGCATATTTAAAATGATACTTATGACCCTCTTTGTGCTAAAGGTGAGTTGGATTTCAATGGAGAAGATGAGTGGGGAGACGCTGATGATCTTGAATCTGTCGATAGTGGAGGTAAGCCCCAAGAAACTTATCATGGAGATTCATAACGGAATTAAAATGATACGTACGACTCTCTTTCTACGAAAGGTGAGCTGGATGACGATGAAGAAGCCGACTGGAGAGACAGTGATGATTATGAAAATAACGATGAAGACGCAGAGTGGAGATTCAGTGATAATGATGATGCCAGCGACAGTGAGGGTAAGCCCCATAAAACTTACCATGGAGATTCATAGCAGAATGAAGATGATACTAACGACTCTCTTCGTGCTAAAGGTGAGTCGGATGACGATGTAGAAGCTGAATGGAGAGACTATGATGATCAAAAATATATTAATGGTGAAGGTAAGCCTCATGAAGCAATTATGGAGATTTGCAGCACATTTAAATGATTACTTATAACCCTTTTTGTGCTAAAGGTGAGTTAGATGACGATGATGAAGATGAATGGAGGGACGGTGATGATAATGAATCTATTGATAATGAAGCCTTGTTTCAACTACTAGTTGAGTAGTGTTCATAATTGCCAGGATCGTTTCTATATTCATTATCATGGAGATTATTCCCAACGGAATTTAAATGATACGAACGACTTTCTTTCTGCGAAAGGTAAGCTGGATGACGATGAAGAAGCCGACTGGAGAGACAGTGATGATTATGAATCTATTGATAGTGAAGGTAGGTCCCATAAAACTTATCATGGAGATTCACAGTCGAATTAAAATAGTACTAAGTGCATTATTTTTGCTGGAGGTGACCTCAATTGCTCCGAGTGGAGAGAAAGTGACAATAATGATTCTAAATATGGAAGCGATCTTTGCAGCAATGAACAGTACTTTAGCAGCGCTCTAGCAACTGAGCTAACAAGCCAACTGGGAGCCGGCCATTATGTTGGTTCGTGATAAACCCGTGAAGTGATGAATAAATAACTAAGATCATATTTGTGTAGAGCGCTGAACCGTTAACGCACAGATCATGGGCTCAAATCCCGTACAGGCCTGAATTTTTTCACGCCTTATTTTCGCTAATGGGAGGATCGCAGAACTTAATTAGGGAATGATTCTATCGGTAAAGTGAAGGTAAGCCCCATGCAACGTGACATGGATGTTTATTGAGGATTAAGATTATACTAATGACTCTCTTTGCGCTAAAGGCGGGCTAGATGATGACAAAGAAGCCGACACTGAAGGTAAGTCCCATGAAGTTATCATGGAGATAAACAGCAGAATTAACACGATACTAATAACTCTCTTTGTGCTAAAGGTGAGATGGATGACGACGAGGAAACCCTGTGGTTAGGCGGCGATGATCTTGAATCTGTCAATAGTAAAGGTAAACTCCAAGAAGCCTATCACGGAAATTCACAGCAGAATAAAAATGATACTTATGACCTTCTTTATACTAAAGGTGAGTTAGATGACGATGAAGGAGACGACTGGAGCGACGGTGATGATCTTGAATCTATCGATGGTGGAGGTAAGCCCCCTGAAACTTAGCAGGGAGATTCACTCGTTGCTAGAGATGACTTCATAGATACCGAAGCTTCAGTTCCAGATACCGAAGGATTTAAGGACGTTCTTGAATTCGCAGATTATTTCGCACAAACTGAAGATACAGAGTGGAGTGACGATGATGGCGAAGAGGTTTCTGAAGGCTATGGAGTTCGTGATGAGGACTCAGAAATTGCATGGTGAAACGACGACGACGAAAACTTTTTAAACTTTTTAAACTTTTTTGATGACTTTGGAAATGATCTGGAGGAAATCTGAAGCTCAGAGGGAAAAGAGGACCTTTCTTATTTTCAATTATTTCAATATGATAAAACCTGCCTTTGTGGAGTCCATATTTTCTGGAAGGGGAGGCCCCTTAATCAGGATATTTCAGTGAAGACAATATGTGACTGCATTTAACTTGATTCCAATTAATGAGTGGAAGTTTCGATTTCTTTTCCTGAAATTGCAAGTCCATTTTCAGTTTGTAATCGTAACAATAAAACTCTGACAAGTTAAAAACTTATATCTGCAAAGTGTGATAACTCTAGATGCGTAGTGGTGCGATAATGCCTAGTTATCAATTTTCGTCGTTTAATTTGGCTCATCCGCTTCTTCACTGACCGAGTGCCTATCTCAGGCCATGGTTCAATCAGGTTTAGGCTCAATGTCATCCAAATTGTATTGCAAAATATTTCGCGCTCTTAACGGTTGTCACTTAATCAAGGAATGCCATTGGTGACAACAATCGATCAGTGTCATCAAGACTTACAAATTATAATCGCAGAATAAATGCATAGCTTAGATTGTTGCTATTCATCGGAACAACGGTGACAAGGGTCGTTTATTATTATTCTGCGCATGATTTAATGTACCCCTATAGCGTAGTGACTTCTCGTGTACTGCATACCCTATGTATTTTCGTGAATGTTCTTTCGTTTTACTTGAATTACCTTTTTAATTTCTCCTACTTTCTCAACCCCTTCTCATCTGTTCGTCATAAACGAACAGTTGCTTTCTCAATCCGTGGACCTTTGTAGACTTTTGTATAGATGTTTGGGTTTAAGCTGTACTACTTGTTGCCTAAGGAGCTTGAAACAGCTCTGAGAGTTCTTCACAGACGCTCGTGCTACTTTGAAATGGTAGTTGTATATGGTAATACGTTGATAATACTATTAATAATAATAATAACAATAATGATAACAATAATGATTATAGTATGATAATAATGTTGATAATAATAATAATAGTAATGAGAATAATGGAATTTCGCAGTGGACATTCCACGACGTGGATCTTCCTCTCCACTTTTTGGTGGGGGAAAAAACCGGAAGACCGGAGTATTTCCCTCGAGCAAGGCGAGAACCAACAAAAAACTCAACCCGGCTACATGTGACACCAGTTCCGGCGGTTGAACCCGAGCAACAGAAGAGGGAGGCAAGCGCTAGCACCACAGCGCTATCACCACTGCGCCATTCCCGCTCCTCCGAAGTCGACGCATTGGTATTTTTAGTGGGATTACTTTTTTACTTTATGAAAAATTAACGATTAATCAAGCGAGGAAAGGACGGGTTACCCTACAAATCGTGTAGAGTGCAATAAAAAATTTAAATTCAGGGGCGCCCGCTTGCCACACTCAAACTGCACGGTGTTTTTTATCGGAGACATTGCTATATTTGGTCATATTTGTTTTCTCCGTCATGTTTAAAGGTCAATTTCGTATCGCAACGTTTTACTTCTGAAGTTGAAGCTTAGGTCAACCAGCTGAATGATATCGCTTCAGCACCGTTATTATTTTTATTTCTAAGACCGGAAGGATTGCTTTTAATCCGAGGCAGTCGTGTTCAGTTCACACCAACTTTACCTCCAACAATAACGTTATCGTTGTGTACGTTCTCTTTAACATAAACAATTGAGGGAACAAATTAGTGGCGGAAAAACCTATTCCCCCTTCCGAAGGCGACAAAAGTTCAATTTTATGGTAGTGGTGTTGCTAAAAGGAATTAAGCTACTACACTTGCTAGGCGGACGTTAGGGAAGTAGAGAGTGTTAGTATGTTTAGACTGAAAACAGCAATAACAAGGACAACTAACACTAGCTTTAAGACTGCCACACTTTTGAGCTGCATCTGTAAATGACTCTCGCAGAAATTATGTAAGGCCGTTTAAGCCCTGTTTTTTGTGGACTTTACTCTTATTTTGCTTTTCGCTCAAAACACTCGGACTTTAAACTATGGTAACATAAAACCTTACCAAATTACGTTCGATGTTTTGAAATGGAAAGCAATTGACTTACGGTCGGAATTCTTGGAGTTCATAGGATTGAAAGGTCCCTTCTTAAATTTTCGTCTCAAGACGTCTTTAAAGGAGATTAAGGTATGAATTTGAAATACATTACATGCTGCTCTCATATCGCTTGCTGAATAACTAAAAACAATAGAGCTTTACAACGATACTTAAGAAGTTGTAATGGTGTACTATGCCCAAAAACGTTCTCTATCAGAAAAAAGTAAAGAAATCGTAGGAGAACACTGTTATAGGTTTTTTCTTCTAGTGAAGGATCTCTAATATCTAAGGAGGGTCAATGCATTTTACCTAAGCTCCAACCAGCTTTATTCAAAGCGCTCAAAGCTAACTTTGCCCCTTTGCCATCGAACGATTTTCATACGTGCCTTGACCAGAGGATTGAAGTTTGAAATGGTGGGAGAGGCATGGCAATCATTATTAATTTCTTAGTGTTATTAAAAAATACGTAAAACGTTCTACGGATTTTATCTCGGAAAATCTTCACCAGATTTTTTATCAACTTCGGGGATCTGTTTATTGGGATAGCCTTGCTGTTGAGTGAATTTCAACCAATTAAATACAGCCATTTAAAAATTGTTATGCCGCTGTTGTTGACGGAAATATCTCTAAATTAAGGGGGCCCTCTGATTGAAATTTGGTAAGATTAAAAAAATTTTTTGCTTAATTTTTTTTTTTGGAAAATATTTACTTGAATCTATCAAGATTTTGAATATGTTGTTTGTTTTTGCATAAATTCTTTTGCAGAGTCAAATAAACGACGTTGTTTTAAAGGTTTTTTCCGCTGCCACGGTAACTAGTTCAAAACAACCGAATTTTCTCGGCTTAAATGTAAAAGGAACACTCTGTTCCACGTTCCCGTGTTCCCAAAAATCCCGTAGTTCATTCCAAATTCTAAAAGTTATTTTAGAGGCCTGGATACACAGCCACAGGAAGCTACAGGGAGCTACAACAGGGTCTGGCAAAGTCGCCAGTTTTGATCAAAGTGTATCAGTTCAAAGTTTATAAATTCCGTTTTAACGAGGTTAATGATTATGCTAAAGCTGGGGGAAAACAGTCTGTTTTAAAGAAAGGTATTTCAAATAAGCGTAAAGGGTTCAAAGGTGTTCAAAAACAAACTGTAAATATCACGTTCGTCGGTGAAGATGATGTGATGAGCGAAATGATTCCACCGCCAGCAATCTCGGTTTCTTCGCGAAAACTTGGCGCTTGTGCGGTTGATACCTCTTCCTCGGACGAAAGTATATGATGATGATTTAGAAATTGCTCAAGGATATCGCCTGATATCAATGGAAATTCTCAGGAAGTTTTTAAACAAAATACATACTCACGTCCCATGTGCCTCAGGTGAGTTTGTTGAAATTTTTGCATAGTGCTACTTATCATGTCGGAAAATATGAAACAAAATCCATGATCCACTTATTTATCTGGATTTAAACTAGAAAATTGATAGATTGTTTCTTTTAATTTCTCATGTAGGTAAGTTGAAGTATTAGAGAGCACTGTAAACAGAATGGGGATGAGCAGTTCAGTCTTTGTCAAGTGTGACTGTGGCATGATAGAGTTCTTTGCCACTGGTGATCACCCCTCCAACGATACCACTCCAAGGAAAATTCAAGGCAAAGATCTGAATTGACAAATAGTGTACAGTGCATTTGTGATGGGAGTTCAAAAAGAGGGAATTGCCAAGCTGTGTGAAATGCTTAACATGCCATTCAGTATGTCACTCACAACCTGTGAGTGATAATGCTAAAATGGAAGCCAGGAGAAGGGATTCAGAGAGAGTTTAACAGGCAGAGAAGAGAGTACAACATCAGCACAAGAAATACAGAGTTGCCAGCAGACAAGCTAAACAGTGCAATGAGGATCTCAGGATGCGTGGAAAGGGTGTGACATGTGCAGCTGGGACTCTTGGGGAAATAGAATCTTGCAATGAAGGCAAAACGAAGAAAAAGACTAAGTAGACCAGGAAATAACTTTGGGCATATTTGTTTCAAAATGTTCTTGCCAACATATTGTGTTTTTATGTTAAAGGCCAACTTGGACCCATATTTCCATATATTTTTTCCTTTAAATTGTATTTCCTGCAAATATGGATTTTTCGTGAAAATCTGGGTGCCCCCTGAAATTTCTCAGGATGTATTTGTGCAAACATCACCAAATTTGCCAGATATTGAGACATGACTTACTACAAACCTATTGAGCAAAATTCAGTTTGACTGAAAAGTATTGGAGTTTTGAGGAGTTAATCTTTTCTCGGAATGAATTGGTTGCCATGGCAACATTAATGATCAAAACTCAATTTTGTTCTATAAGTTTGAAGTGCTTTTTAAGTAGATCCATGTTTCTTAAAACCAGCTCAGTTGGATGTATTTTGTGCTTTAAATTTGAGGGGGCAGAAGAAAGGTTTAAAAATGATAGTCTTTGTATTTGTTAATTAGGTTTAACCCTTTAACTCCCAAGATCTGATTGTTAATTTTCCCCTCTAGCTGCTACACATTTCCTCGTAAATTAGTTATGAGAACTTGGTGCTAGATCAAGATAGCAGCTTCTCCCAGGACCAAAACAACATATATCTCCAGTTCGCTTTATTCAAACTATCCTTCACCCTATTGCTAAAGGACTTGAATTGAGCCCAATTAGCAGTGGGTCCCTTGAGGATTTTGCTTTCCTCCACAAGCGCCGTTTCTTTTAAACAAGGATTCGTAATTTAGAATTAAACCATGGTATATTCCTTTTATACTTCAGGGACTTTGTTGGAATATTACGTTCAACTACTTCCATAAACAGTACTTTCCATGCATCCCAAACATCATTCATATCATCCACTAAGAAAGCAGTAGTCCAAGGTATATTTGAGAAATCGTCCCGTAGACCATTCCAATTAGCAGAACCAAAGTC